AGACTAAACCCTGGTTAACAAAATAAATGGTTATGTAATGGTGACTTATCAAACATGTGCTTAGTAGGGAATGGGGGAATAGGATGACTGTTAATAGTCATGGATTGGACCATTCACCCATGCCCTACAAAGCACCAGTAAGACTATCGGTGCTCTAGACCTGCTGGCCATGGTTCGACATGAGTCTTGTCACTGGTGTTTGGTGGTTGACTTTGTCCTAGGGATGAATGAATGGGGAATTTTGGATAGCGTAGATATACCTGGAGGTCTTGCTGATATCTTAAATATGCACATGTTTGTGGTTAACATTTAGTAATGCTTAATAATGGGTTCTAAATATATGGTGGTGGTGGCTCAACTTTTGGATCTTTTGGTTAAACCGTCAAAAATACGTGCTTGACCATCAAGAATGGTTGGTAACTGGGAAATGTGTATAGTCCAAAGTCGCGGTTTTCATGAAAAGGGGGCTTATGAAGGAGGAGATGGTCCAAAAAAGTACCCTCTGGTAATTTAACATAGCTATTGAACATGGCCATTTATAGTGGATTTTCCCATGAAAAATGGTGGATCTTTCCATAGCAAACTGTTAGTTTACCAGAGGGGTAACCAACGTAGGTCGTCGCTTGGAGATTTGGCGCAAGATCATGGAGCAATCCCTTCATTCAATGATTTCAATGTCAATGAAGTTGATGGGTTGTACCCCAACAAAAACTGCATGATTCTAAGGGGTGTCATATTTGCGGATAGGTCACAACCCAAAATGTCAGATAAAGTGGGCTAAGAACATCCAATCTCGTCAACCTGCTCCAGTATCAACTGATGGGAATTTCACTTGGAGTTGAACAGGGTTTTGATCCGCCACTCCCATCTTCTTGTAGTAACCCAAGGGTTACAAGTCTGGGAGTCCTGCAACATCCCAATTTTGTGTTGGTACGATCTTCTTTTTTGTTGCTAACTTTCCCTTGAAATCCCCGTATGCTTGCTTCCCACCCCGAAGTTGCCTCATTTCCAAGCCAGATGTCCCATCTGCGTTCAGCATGTGTGTTGATAAATATCCATTCTTCTTGGTTAAAAAAAAAAAAAAAACATCTTGGGAATCTCCCAGCCGCCAGCTTTCCGGCGGAAAAAATCCAAGGGCCAGGCACCAGTACAACATGTTGGCGTTCTCGCACTTCCCATCTGCCGTCACACGGTAGCCCGAGGAACACACCGCGCAGGTGTCCTGACCTGGGAAGTTGATGAGCGGAACGGTGCCTTCACGGGGGTTCATCCATAATGTGTGTATGTATATATATATACAATATATATATATACAATATATATATATACAATATATATATATACAATATATATATATATATATATACAATATATATATACAATATATATATACAATATATATATATACACAATAGGATACGATATTCTATCATGAAATATCTGTATAATATATCATATACAATCACAGACATTATTAAGTGATTCCAACTCTCACCCAATTTGCACCACCCCCAAGCTGAATCCTGACCTTCGGTGGTGCATGTCTTGCAGCCGTAGATGATGCAGGCGCGGCAGATGCCACGGTCCACGTCCGGCACGGGCTCTTTGGGGTTCACCGCCGAGCAGCTCTTAGGAGTGGCCTACCGAGGGGTTGGCAAATGATCAATCCACAGTTCATGGAAATAATGTGTAGAGATATGTGTATATATATGATAATTGGATAATAGTAATAATAATACATAGATAATAAATATGTATATATCTATATATATATGTAGAGGTACATGATATATATATATATATACATGCATACACAGATCTACATACACAGATACGTGTTTACATGATCTGATGATTGGATGCGATGGATTTGAAGAGTGGAAAGAGAGCTTTTTGTCCCAGTCGCCGAGTCTTGGGCCCCTTGTGAAGCAAAGGTGTTTTGACTGCCTCAAGGTCTCTTTCATATGGATCATTCATACATATATATATATTATATTATAATATACATATATATATATATATGTATATATATATATATGTACACATATTAATACATGTTATACCTTATATAAATACATATATTCTGGCTACTCCCGTTAGGAGTAGTCTGCATAGTGGTTCACAATATTCCACAATGACCTGAATTAGAGGGGAAGAGACTTCTCTATATACAGGACCAGTACAGCTGTTTCCTAGTCTGCCCATGGTTCAATGGATCTACTATGATCTACTTGCATAAACTCATCGATGGTTGATGGTTCCCCCAATATCAACGGTGATCTATACGGTTTCTTGGGGGGGTGGTGTTAAAAGGGGGAATGGCAATCTTAATGGGGAATATGATGACCAACCATCAAATTTACAGGATGATAGATCATGATAGACCACGGCAATCTAAGGGTGCCCTCCAACAATAGTCACATTTCATAAGGGCTTGTTTGGGTCCATAGTGGACAAAGATGGACAAAGTGCGTACAACAAATCAGAAATGATATTAAGCACTTATTAACCCATGATTTATAGTATCATTAGTCACTAATATTAACTTATTGGTTATAAGCACTTACAAAATATCAGGTCAGTAAAGTCACGTGTTTTCATTGGTCAAAGCCAATACCAGGCCGCCTCCACACACTCGAAATTGCAGTCGACGCCATCAGCGCGATCGTCGGCGTAAATGGGGCATTCTTTGGGGCACTGCAGAAACTTGTCCTTGGGTGGAAGGAATTACTTGTAGGAATGACGCCCAGAACATCGATATGCGTGTCAAGACCAAAGATAACCAAAGATAAAACGGAAGAGTTTATGACACAACTAGGAAGAAGGATTATTAAGTCGACAGAATTGGGTTGATGTCCAGGAAAGTGAAGGGTTTCTTATTTCACAGCTCGCAACTGGTTGAGAACCACGCTTGCAATCACTCTGAGATGCTCATCTACCATCATGTGTGGAAAACTCTTAGTTGCCCCTTAAATCTGGATACAACTTATAGCTCCTCAGCCAAAGTCCCACAAAAATCAGTGAGTCGGTTGCCGCAATCCCCAGCCCCACCATCCCCAACCCCCCTGGCCCCCTGGCCCCCTCTGCCCCCGCTCCGGTTCCACCAAGGCACGCTGTTGGAGTCCACTACCTTGCGGTCATGGCACTTGGGCGGAGTGGCGCTGGTCTTCAGCCAGGCCTTTGGGGAACGGCCAACCAAGTCCACGGCCAGCGTGGGGTGGACGTCATGGAAGGGCCTGCGGCTGCCCGGGCTTGGCTGGGTTCACTGGGAGAGTTTGTTGGGGAGAAAAGCGCGTGAAAAATCCGGGGAATTCTAAGCTACCAACCAAGAAACGTGAGAATATGAATGAAATGAGAAGTTTCTTGGGAACCAAATGTTCGGGATTTGGCTGTCTCCCATCATTTCGGGCGCACTGCGGCGGTGCAACAACAGGATTCACTTCCCCTGGGAAAATGTTCAGAACCAAGAATACAAACCATCATGGAGGCACATGTGAGAATGCCTGCGTAATCTCTTTTTGTGGGTTTTGTGGGTCACCAGAGCGTAAAAGAGTTGTGACCCACACCGATACAATCCCTCCCCTCAAAATCAAATTCCCGCACAATGTAGGCCCCAAAATGATTAGGTAAAATTGTGAACCAGAGTGTGGATGGATTAACATTAGGGGACCACATGGCGACCGCATCTACATTGATGTACATTGAGCATAGCTCCTAAACGGGCGAAGAGCTAAACCAATTGATGATTTGGTAACAAAAGGTGACCAAAAGATTGGTCTCCAATGGCACCAAAAAGCACCAAGTTCCTGGTTCACCATCTATAACTCAAATAGAAATTCACATCTCGTCCCAACTACTGAGTTTTTTTCTGGCCAAAAATTTTGCGCCTGGCTAGAGCCAGAGCCAGAAGAGCCGAGGCCAAAGTAAGCTGCATTGCTGAAGGTTCAAATTGGCTGAAGTTTCAGGGTGCTTTGGGTCCCTGAGAGCCAAAATGCTGCAGACAATTGGCGATCAACTCACTCAGCTCCTTGGTGCCACGGTGGTGGAATGTTGATCCATTTTTGTCGTTGTGAACAATGAATAGTAACTTAGTATGTTTAGTGAAGAATGATCCATATTTCATTGGGCCATCAAAAACATCCCCGGATATCCCCATTAAATCACTTATGGAGGCTTCCTAAAATTTGGGGGGAGGGGCTCCTAAGTCATCCATTTCAAAGGGATTTTCCATTCTAAACCATCCATTTTGGGAAACATCCAACGGCTAGGAAACCCTATGATCTTCCCATGGTGCCACTCTGCCAAGGCACTTCCATCGGGGCGTCCTTCTTGTAAGGATCCATCAGGAAGGATTACTACAGTCCTCCGGTTCCAAGGAGCCTGAAACTGAAGCAGTTTCGAAAATGTGGTGCTCCGTAGTTAGCCAAGCTGATCTATGGTTGACCTGGGGGTTCTGGTAGATATATCATGATATATCTATAGTTCATGGGGCTTATAATCTAACTCATAACTGGAGGGTACCACCTTTCTGGAATGCAACCTCAGCATTGAAGGGGGTGCAGCTCAACGGTCTTCAAATCTCAAATCGATTGAAATACACCCCCGTAGCCGGTAGCCCTATGTACATGCTGATTGTATATATAATAATGCATGCAGATATGCATGTGTACATATATATATATATATATAGTGTGTGTGTGTGTGTGTTTTGTCCGCTGTAGATGTTATAAGTAACTATCTGCCATATGTATATGCATAATATCAATATATGCATGTACCTTCAAAGATCAGGCGAGTTTCGCAGCACCCCCCCTGTCCTTGTCTCACTTTCTGCCATCCTGTCCTGAGAGAGCTAGGAGATGTTCCAATGAGCAAATCATCGAACTCAATGGGCGATTTTCCAGCTAGCCATCTTTGATTACCAAAGGGTACCGAAAAACGATTTGGTGAAATTGCCATTATCATAGAGTGGTTCACAATTCATACTGAGTCATACTGATTTTCATTACGCTTTATTGGAGATGCTCAATTTTGTCGTAGTGATTCTATGGGCATATGGTGACCTGTCCCCCGACCTGACACCCCTCAGCTATCCCTATCTACGGTGCCTCAGCGTCTACGGTGCCTCAGCGTCTGCGCTGCACTGAGCGGCATCTAATTTTTCGGAGGCTATTGCTGCATGGGCAAATCCTCTTTGAATGATTGATAAACCGGTTGGTATAGAAAAGAATCTCACAGGAGACATTCTCATGGCCAGATTGAGATATAGATATAAAATTATGGGTATAGTTACATATGGTTACCTGTTTGTTATCTATGTTTTTCTGAAGACGTTCTGCACTTCTGGCAAAAGAACAAACCATGAACTTACCTAACCTGTGCATCTTCCCGCTGGATGGAAAAACCATGGGCAGAATCTCCTTTGCCGGTGGTGAAAATAGGGATTTGAGAAACCCGCCCCTCAAGGTCCTTGATAGATTGGATTTGATTCAGCGGAAATTGAGATCAAGTACGCCATTATGTTACCCTCCTGCATTTGGTCTCACGCTTCAACAGCTTGGCTGGTCATGTCCAGATGTGCTATGATATGCTTAGTCACATTGGGCCAATCATGTGCGAGATTGCCTTTTTCTACTCACATCTTTGCTGCTTAAACCATTCCAAAGCATCCACTTGTTGTTAAAATCTTCAAGGTGGTGTCTCCCAGTTCTGTTGATGTATAAAACTCCATTATCTATAGATGCTATAGATGTATCTACCACAAACCACACGTTTCACCATAGTTTGCTTCACCCAGGGCCCCATTCTGCAGCTTTTTCGCAGCGGTTCGCCCCGAGGCGCAATGGGTCCACCCCACTTTGTACAAACGGCCGCACTGGATGCCGTGCTGAAAAAATGATCTGAAACATGCTCATAGCGCAGAAAGCCGCAATCAAATGATATACCATATGTTTCTACATATATATATATATATACACCTTGTAATATTATATTACATTACAATATGTTGTAATATGTTGTATTATATGTATTAAAATATCTGATATTTTCTCTTATGCATATGTATTATATAGTACAAATAATATATCAGATATTAGATATTAGATGTTATATATTAGATCTTTGATACTAGATATCAAATAATATAATATAATATAATATAACATAACTTAACAGAATATAATATAATATATAACATATCATATATAACATAGCATATATAACATGGAATATGTATATACAGTAGTATAGAATATATGGTCCCGTCCTCCGTCTCTCCACCCCCCCCCTCCCCCCCCCCCCCCCATGGGTTGGGTCCCCAGGTAGCAGCCCCAATTCCCTTCTATTTGCAAGCTATTGGCAGCATTTCTGAGGTCCAGCTTCGTATTTGCTAGGTCTTTGCAGCATTTCTGACTACCAGCCTCGCATTTACTAGGTACATGCTACCTTTTAGGCGACCTACGTAGCACACATACTCCTTCAAAGTACCTACGTGCTACCTATAGTCATATATACATGTGCTATGCATCTACTGTATCTATTTCCTACTTACTACCTGTGTACTCTGACAACACTACCTGTGTTTAACATATACCGTACCTACCATACATGTCAATGATGCCATGCATACCATACCTATCATATCTATCATATCTATCATACATACCATACATACCATACATACCATACATACCATACATACCATACACATGAAATGTAATTACCACACCTACCATACATACAATAACAAACATACATGCCATACATACCATACCTACCTTACATAGGAAATAGTCCATACCCATCATAGTAACAATACATACCATACAGACCATACATACTGTCATATCAAACATACCATAGCCAACAGACTTACATACCATACCTACCATCCATACAATACCAACCACTCATGCCATACATACCATACCTACCATACATACCAAACATACCATACTTTCCAAACATGCCATACCAGACCGACCACACACACCATACATACACAACATACCATACCACACCCCCACCACACCACAGGGGGGGGGAGGGGGACAGTACCACACCCCCACCACGCCACAGGGGGGGAGGGGGACAGTGCTGGGTCCCCAGGTAGCACCCCCCTTCCCTTCTATTTGCAAGCTATTGGCAGCATTTCTGAGGTCCAGCTTCGTATTTGCTAGGTCTTTGCATCATTTCTGACTACCAGCCGCGCATTTACTAGGTACATGCTACCTTTTAGGCGACCTGCGTAGCACACATACTCCTTCAAAGTATCTACGTGCTACCTATAGTCATATATACATGTGCTATGCATCTACTGTATCTACTTCCTACTTACTACCTGTGTACTCTGACAACACTACCTGTGTTTAACATATACCGTACCTACCATACATGTCAATGATGCCATGCATACCATACCTATCATATCTATCATATCTATCATACATACCATACATACCATACATACCATACATACCATACATACCATACACATGAAATGTAATTACCACACCTACCATACATACAATAACAAACATACATGCCATACATACCATACCTACCTTACATAGGAAATAGTCCATACCCATCATAGTAACAATACATACCATACAGACCATACATACTGTCATATCAAACATACCATAGCCAACAGACTTACATACCATACCTACCATCCATACAATACCAACCACTCATGCCATACATACCATACCTACCATACATACCAAACATACCATACTTTCCAAACATGCCATACCAGACCGACCATACACACCATACATACCCAACATACCATACCACACCCCCACCACACCACAGGGGGGGAGGGGGAAGATCTCATATGGGGCCAGTATCTGGGACCCATCCCATGTGGGGGGGGGGGGGGGGGGTGGCAGGGCCTGGTGCATATATAGTAATATAATATATATATATATATGTACGTATCATATCATAATATAATATAATAAAATATAATATAATATAATATAATATAATATATATTATAATATATATAATTATTAGTATTATATACATATTATGATACATAGTATAATAAATATATTGTATCATATGTAATATGATATAATATAATGTAATATAAATATAATATAATATAACTTATAACATAACATAATATAATATAATACTATAATATAATATATATATATAATACAATACATATAATACAATACATATAATACAATACATATAATACAATACATATAAAAGATAATACATATATTATATTACAAATTATATACTAATTAAATATTATAAGATTTATAATTAGATATATATATATTATATTATATTTTATTATATTATATTGTGTTATATTAAATTAAACTATATATTATATATTGTATATTATATATTATATATTAAATATTATATATTATATATTATATATTATACATTATATATTATATATTATATATTACATATTATATCATATATTATATTATATATTATATATTATATATTGCACCTTTTGTAATACTATATATTATATATCATATTATATCATATTGTATTATATTATATTATATATTATATTATATTATAATTATATTATGATTATTATATTATAATTATATTATATTATATTATAATATATTATATTATATTATACTATATTATATTATATTACATTATATCATATTATATCATATTGTATTATATCATATCATATTATATTGTATCATATCATATATCATGTATTCTATATTATATATTATATACTATATATTATATATTATATATTACGTATTACGTATTACATATTATATATTATATATTATATTATATATTATCTATTATATATTATATATTGTATATTGTACGTATATTATATATTACATATTGTATATTATGTGTGTGTATTATATTACAATAATATCTATACGTATGTATGTGCGTATTGATTATCTCCGACTCTTGATCACTTCACCACTCCTAGGCCCGTGACACATTGCCTACCGCTGCACCATTGGACCATCAGATTTTCAAGCACAGATCCCAGTTTCTTCTGTCCTCAGCTCTCACTGCGACCGAGAACATGGTGAGGATCCAAAGCTGCCTTAAGACTTCTTAAGGCACAGCTCACCACACCTCGCAGCCACGGGGAACGGCCAGCACGCACTGCCAATCTTTGGAAAATCCCTTGGAGGTTCTCGGATCTAATGGCCCCAGCTGGTTAGTTCATTCGCTTGTTTCTTGCGAAATGTTGGGTTTCTTGCGCTGCATAAGCCCAACACCAACATGGAACGCCATGTTAACACGAATTTAGAGCTGATTTGCCCACCGGAAACGATCGATTTTAGGGGTTCCGGGTGAAATTGGGCAAGGAGGGCCCAGTTTCCTGAATTTGGGCAAGTGAACCATCAAATCCCTTCATGTTGCTGAAATGATCCCACCACAGAACACACCCATCTTGGGATATGCCACAGGACCTTAGATCGATTCCTCCTGACATGTTGGCCGTAAAAGCATTGGAACCTCAGCGCGAAAAATCGCCCCGCACCTCCATCGCTCCTCGGTCGCTCCGGCACCGGCTGCACGGCCTTTTCTGCAGCTCGCAGGAGCGACTCGAAGGAGTTCAGGGCCACGGCTGGGTCCAAACCTCGATCCGGAAGTCTCCGGGCAGCCCGGAAGGGGAAGTGCTGATTTTTTGAACGATCGATATATCAAGGGGTCATATAGTTGGTGTGAGATATGTCAGGGATATGATCACCTACGAACAATATCTAACAATAGTTGTAATGGGGATTGACATGGATTAACAAGTATAACCAACTACAATTGGCGGAATATGTAAGGGGGATTAAGCAACTGTGATTTCTCCAACACTGGATGCGGATTCGATTTGGGACAAAAATGAGGATGTGTCACCCAGAAAAATGGGTGGGGTCACCCAGAAAAATGGAAGGGATATGATGGGGATTTGACATAATTGCCAACATCATTGGGATTTCGCTGAAAAAATGTTCGGAAAACACGCAACCCACTGGTTAATCATCCTGCTCCCTATGGGGGATAGCCCATTTTCAGAAACGTACGCATTGAACCACCACAAATTCGGATTGTAGATGATTAGAGTATAATATATTGTAAAGCCCATAAAGGGCAACCATCTCCCCAAAAAAAAACATACCAAAAAAATTGCTGATTAAACTTTAAAATGAAGATTGGTAAAACTGGGTTTACCAGTATATCCCCAGATATCCCATATCCCCAGGTATTTCTTCATGCTTCTCCATATCCCAACTCTTGGGAGTTTAGTTCACCATGGTTTGTTTGGGATAACTTGGCTGAACTCTCATCCCAAGTTATGATTGAAAAAATCCCAACCTAAGATGGTTATAGCAATTTTTGGGACACCTCCAAAAATATGTCCATGTTACTGGCTGGTTAATGGAATATCCTATATATTTCATGATTAAATCCTATATTTCATGGTTAAATCCCATAAAAATCCCATTAAGACTCAGGTTTTGAACCAAACCCGTCATGGTCGACGTCGACGACCCCTGGCCTTCCACGGAGCAGGTCACATGGACGCGCAGCAGCGCTCCGTCTCTCGAAGGACTCAGACCTCCAAACAGGTTGGGAAACCTGGGGAAACCTGGGGAAATTGATGGGTTCACATGGGTTGATATGGGTCAATATGGGGGTAACATGGGAAATTGTTGATACGGATTGATGATTAATATGGATTTTCATAGTGGTTAGCATATGGGTTTATCTAAAAAAGGGGGTAAACTACAATATCCCAACATCTAAAAACTAGTTGGCTTACCAGTTTAGCATCGGAAATGGATGAGGCAGAGTGGTCATGTTAGTTGGGGGAGAATCTTAGTGCTGGGATATTTTGTGGCATCACAGTGGATTTCATTGGGGATTTATTCAACCAAGATGGGAACAGACCAATTTGATGACATGGTGCTTAAAAAAACGCATTCTTTGGTTTAGAAAATCATGTTCCTGATTGAAATCGCAATTTAGGGATATATATATATATATATCATGATATATCCCCTGTTTCCGGAGAAAGACATGTTTCCCTCATGGATTTTCATCTTGGCGCAATGGCGCAATGAACCTGGACATGAAACTCTTGGTGAATCCCAGCAGGTTTGGTTGGTGAAATCCAACCATAGCAATTGGGGTGAAAAAATCCCACCAGGTTACCCTCTGGAAAGCAAACATGGCGCCATGGACAATGCCCTGTTCTCATCTGAAAATCATCGACATAAATGGACATCGGAAAAATAGGAGATATCCATTGATTAGATTACCAGAGAGCTGCCACAATTTAAATAGACAATGAAGATATATGAAGATAATCCATTCAGAAAGGTAGACTACGAAGAACATATGTTGAAAAGTATTGAAATAACAACCATTCAGGAACTTTCAAGGATTAATGCTTGATTTTTTGAATTTAGATACGTGCTGCCTCAGTATCAACCACGGGTACAATACAACCCTTGTCAAATGGAAAACCAATAGTTTCCCCCAGGAAAATCATCATCCAAAGCCCAGCGGCTCTTCCAAAGCTTCAGCGCGCCCGGCAAACGCAAGCGTCGATGCTCTGCAGAGGCCACCTGAAAAATTGGGGGAGTGAAAAATCCCCAGCTGCTCACTCCACATGGTTTCCTAAAATGGAGGTCCCCCAGTCCCAGTCCACCATTGGTTCACGAAAAAAAATTCACGTCATGGTCATCACTGGGATGATGACTGGGGTAAGCCATGGTAAGCCTATTTTAGGAAACCCGTTGTTTTTTTTTTCCTTGTTCCGTCTTTTGCCGTCAATGTATGTCCAAAACTGGAAGTATCCCCCAGTTCTGGCCGTGTTTTTTCGGGAAAATGATGATCAACGATGGGGATTTAGGGATGGCAGCCAGGGTTTCCCACAACGACCTGCAAGATGCAGGGCCACAAGTTGGGCTGCAGCCGGCTCCAGGGCAGAGTCAACTGCAGGGAGTCCAGCAGCAAGTCGTGGTCCATACCTCAGTGGGTGGCAATGATCTTAGTGATTTATGGAGATATTAGATGTTTATCATTATATCTGGCTGAATTATATATATATATGACTATGACATGCTATGCATAATATCATATGTCCTAGCTGAATTCAGCTGAAGGATCATAGCTGAATTACAATATTTACAAGCTGAATTAGAATATTTCACCGACCAGAAATCACGTCATTTTGGGATGATTCCCCCCTTACAGCAACACCATCATTTCAGTGACGTCGCGGCGACTGCACAGCTCGATTGTCATGATTTATGGAGGTTGATGTTTTCACATCTCACCCCAGCGGTTACCCAGTTCATACATCACCAACACGTGAATTTCAAATAGATAATCTGCAGAATTTATGGAGCGACATCATTCCCATTTCCAGGTGCTATGTTTCTGGAGCCTATGTTTGGGCTCCGTGTTAGTTTCAAGGAGGCTACCATGGTTTGTAAGAAGAAATGGTCTGGATAGTCTGAGGTCTACCAATGCTGACTATAAGTATCATCTTAACCGAAGTTGGAGATTCAAAGCATAAACCCATCCTAGAAGTGTGTTAATGGCAACAAAATAGCGGGAAAACCATGAAAACTCACAGATTTGCAGGAAAATCGAACCACTAATTAACTAATTCTCCATTGAAATTTGGTTGTATCCATGTATTTAAGCATCTTGTGGGTCTCAGTTCAATCCAAACATTCCTGATTTCCCGCCTAGTCAGCCCTTGAAATTTGCCGCCCAGTGACCCAAGTCGCGGAGATATGGCACCACGAAGTTCATCTGATGGAACACTTCTCCGACGTCCGCCCCCGTCCACACTCCCCGGCACACCTTTGCCAAGCTTGTCCTCAAGTCCCGGCGAAAGCGACAGTGAATATGGTGTCTGAAAATGGGAAATAGGCCCAAAAAAACAAGTCTATTGCAATTTTAATGGCAAAAGTTATGATTGCCCTATTCTCAGACCAAGCCATGTGATTTTAAAAGCCAAAATCATCAAAATCGATGTGTGCGGGCGTCTATCGGTATCACATGTTTTCAACGTAACTATGTAGGTGAATCCTAGCAAAGAAACTCTTATGTACGAACGAAAGTGCGTACGTATAGATGTAGATATAGATGTAGATTGATATGTATAGATCCGATTGTTGGGTAACTGGGTACCCCAAAATGTCATGCTTCATTTTTTGGGGGACAAACCCGTATGTGTGTGTACAGCACTTTTGTGGAGACATCCAATACATATCTATGATATATCCAATTCTTAGCTGGTATAAGTTAGCTGATGTCATCAATATCTACTTATGGTTTATGATATATATATATATATATATATGGTCTATATGGGGGTGTCCAGAAATATGGGTACCCCCAAGTCATCCATTTTAATGGGATTTTCCATTACCAACCATCCATTTTGGGGTACACCCTTCGTCCAGGTCGCAGCTCGTGTCGTTGGGCTGCCTCAGTGGGGAAAAATGGGGATATAACTTGGGGCTACCAGTTTGATGCTAGAAACCAAAATTGGTTTCTAAACCTGTTATAACTGATATAACCAAGTTATGGGTTTCTATACCCCATGTTGGTTTCTAACAAACTTGAAAATACGTGAGATTCATTGGGTCCTTCCCAACATGGGGGTATAAAAACCGACACTTTTTTGGGGGGGGTGCTCATGGGATCTCATGGACCTTCCCCCCAATGCTACCCCCAAATCAAAACCCCCATTGGGAACTGGATCTGCGAGTTGGTCCTGGTATCCCATCTAAAACAGCTATCGAATATTCGATTGAGGGGTATTGGATCACTCGCATATCAATAACATTCAATAACATCCTCTGGTATTCAAACATTGCAACGGAGAAAAAAAACATGTAGTTGGATGAAAATGTCCTTTCAATGCCCGTTGAGTTCAGGGATTTCCCAGCTAGCCATGTGCGATGACACCGGAGGGTAATAATCACCATCACCATCATCAACAACAACATCAACCACATCAACATCCACATCAACATCATCATCAACAATGACAGTGATAAAAACAAATATCCAATATTTTTTTAATAATTAATAAACATCATCATCCTCGAGTTACAGCTGCTGCAGTGCGCCAAGTCACCACTTCTTCAGCGGAGCCTTCCAAGACGACCAACGCGGCCGCGCTGCTCGGCTGCCCAAACCTGGCGGAGATAGAACAGACTCGAGCCATGGAGTTTTTGATGAGTTTCCCTATGGTAAACATATAAAAAGACGTGAAAATGCCATGGTTTCTCTAGGAAAACTATGAATCTATAAATGGATATAAAATATTATAAAATCATATAAATGGGGGTTGCTTTTCCATAGCTATCTTAGTTTACAGGAGGGGAACTTGTTTGGTAACTGGCCTGCATCCTTATGCGTATGAAATGAGCTATAACCTAACCTACTTAGCCATGGCCCATCTTAGATACATCTTTTTTAGGTGGTTAGTAGATATCCCCATCTAGAGCAAAAGATGACAGTACAAAATCAGCGATCCAAGAGTGACCCATATCAGACTAAAAAGCCATCACTGGAAAAGATGTAGAAATCCACTCTTGATCTTCGAAGCGTTGGGGGACTCCAATCTATCATCCTTGGCCCAACTTACCACATGAGTTTCCCCCATGCAAAAGGCTGGCACGTCCAGGCCACCCATCAAGGTTTTGAATCATCCTTGGTAGAAGGTACCCTCTGGTAGACAATCGGACACAGGAGTTTCTCGCGGAAAAATGTGTATTTTCCAGCCATGTTGAGCACGGGAAGGGACCCCCTAACGACAGGTTGTTGGTAGTTTACAACGCCGTTGGATCTATGGCATATCGAACTAGTTCGATGATTTCTTGGCACCACATGGCACTACCAAAAAAAAAATGTCGCCATGATCTCCCCATATCCCCATTATATCCCCATAATTCCCCATAAAATACAGTATAAACACTGTACCCATTGAACCCCGCTCAAACCCCAGCTTGCAGAGGATCTCTGTCTTTTGGGGTGGAAGTGACCCGAATTTCCATGGCCCCCCAACGCATCTCCGCCGTCCACAATCAACTCCTGAATTTCGGGGTGCCATCACGAAAATTCGTGGTTTGATACACCAATTTTGAGCCATACCCACAAATTACCCATCACATCCCTGAATTACCCGAAGTTCTGGAATAACTCTATATAACGTCGGAACCCGGGGCCATGGTTTCAACATGGTTCAACCGGATTTTTTTAGGCTGGAAAATCAATCCATTGCCTCAAGACCTGGGAGAAATGGGACTTCGTCAATAGAGGATCATCCTCCCACTTTCTAGAAAGTGATAAGCAGGTCAATTGAGGATTGTCCCCAGGTACCAATTGAGAACAAAAAATGTCAAGCCACTAACCAGAGATCTTCTCCAGGACTTGGGTTTTCTTCTAAAACTGAACGCCGTTTTCTACAGCCCCTTTGCTCAAAGATCATCGGGTGTCCGATAATCGGATAGCCCCAAATCTGGTTTATCATGGTTTATCATGTTCCCTCTTGAAAATTGACATAAATTCATACCAATCCGGGGTACTGTATACCCCATGTTCAACTTACGTGCCACGGGCTGCCGTCCTCCCTCAAAATCTGGGCCAACGTCAACTCAGTGCTGTCCAGCAAACCTGAGTCAGAATCTGATTCGGGAATGGAGGAAATAGAAGAAAACCCTGTGGAAATTTGCCATTAAAGAGTGGAAACAGAGAAGAGGTATGTACCCAACAATCATGTTCATGTGTCCAGAGAAACCGTGTGATCCATATGTAATTATGTTTTTCCATCAGAGTCATATCTATATACAATAAGTGAACAACGAGCCGAGCATGTTCAGAACCCACCCCGCATGGACCAGCTTGCCATCACACCATGGCGATCCACAAGGATACAGCAACTCTATACCACTGTCGTTGGATGTCGTTAGTATGTCATATAACCCGCCTTGTGTCATGATATTAGCATGTATTCCTTCAATACTTACAAATCCACATTCTCTAGTTCTGTTGGTTAGAAAATAAACTCAAGTGCTATCCCCAACAGCATGATAGTTTCAGCACTTTTTCCAATACCACACACCGGTTCCTTCCGGAACCTTTGCATGCTGCACCGGAACCTCCGGAAGCTCACAAGGTATCTGCACCGCAACCCTCCAGAACTTCACCAAGCATCTTCTCCGGAAACTTCCGGAACCTCACCAGGCATCTGCGCCAAAACCCTTTAGAACCTAACCGTACCTGCACCGGAAATTTCCGGAACCTCGCAAGGTATCTGCACTGGAACCCTCCGGAACCTCACCAGGTATCTGCACCGGAACCCTCCGGAACCTTGTCCGGAACCTGGTGCTGAAGCTGCACCGGATCGCACCGGAGCTAATCTGGGCTAAAGACCCTATAGCAAAGTTTTGCTGTTGGGGAAAAAAACATGCCTACTGTACCTGGCGGAATTCCCATGTGAGATTTCTCTGACAATCGGGTACCCCGGTGTAAATGTTCCCTTTTCAGTGGCCACAACTCCTGGGGTATACCCCGCTTCAGACACACCCAAGTATCACATTGTTGGTAAAATCCGCCCGCACCGAAGGTGCTGGGGCGTGATCTTCCGGATGGCACTCGTAAAAGGTTACAGGTTTACCTGGGGGGGGGGGCATTTTTCGGCCAAAACCTCCTGTTTTTGATAGGTCGTGACGCTCGCCTGTTCGTGAACGCGCCGTCCAAAATCGGCAAGCGAAAAGTGAAAAAAACCTGTGTTTTTCAACTTTTTGACCTCAATTTTTGGGTTTGCAACATCTTTTTTTGCGGTTCCGCAGGTGGCCGGGCCCGGAGGCGGATTTTTGAGTTTTTGGACCCGTTTTCGGACTGATTTTCGTCGTTTTGTGATAGCAGAAACACTGGTTTTTACAGTGTTTTTCTGTTTTCTGCATGCTTGACGGCTAACTTCAAAACTTCCAAAAACCTCGTAAATTACGCTGTTTTATGTTACGGTGTGAATGAAAACATCGTAAATACCCGTGTTTTTTGACGTTGGTTTTAAAAAAACACTGTAAACTACAGTGTTTTTGGCCACCTGACCCTCAAAAACCATGGTATTTGCAGTGGTTTCTGCTTCTCACCGCGCAAAAACACTGTAAATAACAGCAATTTCGCCGTTTTTTCATGTTTTTCGTTATTTTTTGAACTGCGTTGGTCCGCTATACATGGCTATCAAATTCTTCGCGTTTTTTTTTCCGACAATCAGTACTTTCGGATGTTTTTGGTCTCAATGGCCGACATCATTGGCAGTTACGAGCGGCTGCCCAACGATGCGGTGCGGGCGGTTGCCGTCGCGAAGCGACGTGAATATCCCATTAAATATCGAACTAGTTGATGTATATTAGTGGGATATATAAGTGGAATATCCAAATATCGCTATACAACAATTAGTGGGATATATCCCATGATAGTTCTATGATTTCCACAAGATTCCCGAATATGTTGCTGCTTAAATTGTTAAATCCCTTGTTTTTGTTCGGTGGATTCCCCCCCGCCGCTGCCCCAAGGAACGGCAGGCAGCCGGTTTCAAGGCCCTTGGCAGTTGGCCCACTTGGCGAAGGAAGGAGACCTAAAGCTAGCAGGGCTTCGGGCTTCATGGGAAGTGAACCAGGAAAATATAAAAACATACGTGTTTATAGCAATCATGTGCGATTTCTATGGTTTTTGATGTGTTTTCATGGGGTGGCTGATGAGTTTATATGAGAGATGTCTGATTTCTAGATAGCACCATTTTCTTACAATAAACATAGAAATCAAGCCTTTCATACAGCAAAGATTGGGATGTGGGTAGCCCTGGGTCAAGTCAGTCAGCAAGTTTACTGTGGTTCCATAAAAAAGATCAACAAACCGGTGGGAGTTTGGGACATCTATACAAACAAACACATACACATACACATACACATACCCATACATATACATATACACATACACATACACATATACATATACATATACATATACATATACATAGACATAGACATAGACACATACACATACACATACATATACATATACAGTTACATGTACATACACATACACATATACATATACAGATACAGATACAGATACATATACAGATACAGATACAGATACACATACAGCTACAGAAACATCTATATATATATTACACATATAAAAGTATTTGCATAATTACACATTGTATCCACATACACTATACATATCATATGGGTCCACATCCATCCCTTTTCCAGATATCAATCTCCGGTTTGGCCCCCCCACCCCTTGGTCCCAATTTGGGAAACGCAAGCTGTCACGCTCCAGCCGCTCGGGTAGAGGATGGATGCGCACCACAGCTGCCTCCAATTTTTGGAGATGTTTAGTGAAATTCATCTGCAAACATAAAGGAAACCACACCTCGTCTGGATCATTTTGATAAAAAAGAGACCGAAGACCATGGATACTTTCACAATTTTGGTGGACGCATAGACAACGTGCCATGCTACTGGGGTGTTCCCTCAAGCGAGGATGAACTGTGAACTGTTGACTGGGAAAAAAGGAGATGCGACCCGTGTAATGAGATCATGGCGATTAGTAGGTCCATAGGTCTTTCCACACCCCAATCACTGGTCATCAATGCCCCAGAACTTGAAATTTGTTGGAAAATCACCATCAAAATAAAAGCTGAATCAGTGAATTAAATTAACTAAATGTTGTGGATATCTTGGTCTTCAATTGTGACTCAACAAAAGGGTACCAATGGACCCACAACTGTTTTTTGAGTTTTACACCCACATTGCCACAATTTACCACGCAACATAGATCTGGAAAACCCACCACGAAAGTAGATCATGTTCCTGGAGTTTTCCCATGGTTTTTCCACATCTTGGAGCAGTTTACCGCAGGGTACCATGAAAATGTCTGCCCAGATGTTGCTCCGCCAAGTCGCAGTGATCACACCTAAGCATCCTGCGCTCCCCAGAAGGAGACCTGCACAGCTCAGAAACACAAAGATGCATGGCATGGTTCGATCCCCATATCAACATCTTTGGTGGTGAAATCCCCACTTTTTTGATTCATGATGTGTTCTTTAAAACAACCTACATGGTGCACTTAAATCATCTATAACTCCATATAAATCCCTGTTTTTGTTGATGAAAAACCCCAGTCTACCGAAATCCCCTTGATCCAGATCTGTCCCGCCGGTCGCTTCTTAGGTTTCCCCCACCTGGCAGTTCAAGCCCATTGGAGCGACGACCCACGGAACCACACGACCTGGAAATGTCTGACACGCAGGGACCCACAGTAGTCATGTTCTGCGCTGATCACTGGGTTCATGTCAACCCCGGATTAATAAACCCTAGTTGATTAATTTGGGGGGTCCTCTCAAACAATTAAAACGGCCATAAACGGCCTAGTGGTTCATTAATCCGGGGTTGACATTGACAAACATATATAGTAGTTCCGCACAAGGCGGTGGCGGAAGTTTCAGAAATAGGAAACCTATAGGAGAGGTTGGTTGTTGTGAATCACGGATGGCAGGGCGAATCCACAATTAGTGTAGTGTAGTGTGGTGTAGTTGCAGTTGCATTTGTAGTGGTGTAATGAGCGTGGTGTAATGTAATGTAGGGTAGTGTAGTGTAGTCTAGTGTAAGTGTAAAGTAGCGTAGCTGTAGTTATGGTTAGTGTAGTGTAGTGTAATGTAGTGTAGTGTAGTGTATTGTAGCGTAGTGTAGTGTAGTGTAGAGTAGTGTGGTGTGGTGTGGTGGGGTGCGGCGTGGTGTGGTGCGGTGTGGTGTGGAGTGGTGCGGTGTAGTGTAGTGTAATGTAGTTGTAGTTGTAGTTGTAGTTGCAGTTGTAGTGATGCAGTGCAGCGTGGTGTAGTGTAGTGTTGTGTAGTGTTGTGTAGTGAAGTGAAGTGAAGTGGAGTGAAGTGTAGTGTAGTGTAATGTAGTGTAATGTATTTAGTGTAGCGTGATGTAGTTGTAGTTGTAGTTGTGATTGTAGTTGTGGTTGTAGTTGCAGTTGTAGTTGTAGTGTAGTGTAATTGAGTGTAGTGTAGTGTTGTGTAGTGAAGTTATGTGGAGTGTAGTGTAGTGTAAGTAGTGCAGTGTAGTGTAATGTAGTGTAGTTGTAGCTGTAGTTTGTGTAGTGTCGTGTCGTGGCGTGGCGTGTCGTGTCGTGTAGCGTAGCGTAGCGTAGTGTAGTGTAGCGTAATTGAGTGTAGTGTAGTGTAGTGGAGTGGAGCGTAGCGCAGTGGAGTTTAGTGTAATGTAATTAGTGTAGCGTAGTGTAGTGTAGTGTAGTTGTAGTAGTCGTTGTGGTAGTTGTTGTGGTAGTTGCAATTGTAGCTGTAGTTGTAGTGTACTGTGGTGGAGTGTAGTGTAATGTGGTGGTGGTTGTAGTTGAAACTGCTACAAAACCCTCACGTATTGCTCATTTTTGACAAGGTGCAGAATCCCTTGTGTCTTTGCCACGCAAAACAACATCCGAACGTCCAAAAGTGCTCCGTGCCTCTCAGTTTTTTGCACTTTTGACTTAAAAATGTGTTATGCGCCACAACGGCGTGCGTTTTCGACATGTCAACTTCCAAAAGAGCTCCGAGACCGTCAGTCTTTAACACTTTTGACTTGGAAGTGAGCTTCGCGCCACAACGGCGTGCACTTTTTCGACATCTCAACTCCCAAAAGTCGTCTGACGTTGGTGTGTTTTGTACGTTTTGACTTGGAAATGTGCTTCGCGCCACAACGGCGTGCAATTGTTCATCTCTCATCTGGCCAGATTGCTCCGCACCCGCCGCTTTAGCGAGCCTACTTTTCGACCCTCCGGAGCCACAAATCATTGGAAAAAACACAGTGTTTGGCGACTTTCCTACCTTTTCGCGCACCTGCTTCTGAGACTTTCTCTTCTTTGATCTTCTTTCTTTTCTCTTCTCTGACTCTTTCCATCTCTGCTTTTCATCTGTCCATATTATCGGAAGTTTGACTTCTAAACTTCCTTCGAATATGTTATAATCCATTTATAGATGGCATAACGTGGGATAACCTATATAAAAGTGTGGGATTTATGAACCAGGATTATCAAGCACTTTGCAAGTGGGATGAACTGTCTAGTCCCTTTCCAAGTTCATAGTAAACCATCCCCGAAAGAGTCGGTTTCCTGTTTTGCAAGACCCCAAGATCCCCAAGATCCCCAAGGACGAGCCATCCCCATCCCCATCCATGGCGCCTGTCTTTCATCCCATTCTGCCACACAAGTCCCGAAGACGTGGCCACTCGGACCTGGATGTTTTTTGTTGGAAGAAATCGCTGGAAGCTCAGTGGAGGGGATCAAAACATTTGGCTACCCCAGAAAAATCCTGAAAACTGCAGAGAAAATATGAACAATTAACATATCATTAAATTACAAACAAAAACTCAAACTAACCGGTCAATTTGTGGTCAGGCCTTGAGAACGGATGTAGAAGCCTCAGAAGAGGCTTTACAAGATGAGTTTCCCATTGACTTCATGGCTGCTTTTAAGTTCCATGTGGGCGTTGAGCAATCAATTTGTTGTTCCCAAGGCCTTAAAACTTAAATCAAACCCCATTGCCATAGGTCAATGGTCCCATTGGTTGTTAAAAAAACTCGTTCTTGCTAAATACATATCCTGATTCTCGGTGGTTCAGAAACTCTTGGTGGATAGATGCTCTGTTTGTTGCGTCAAACATCACTTTCCGCTCCATAAAAACCGGAAAATATGGAAACTCTATAGTTGATCAATCCCCATTGCCCCCATTTTTCGATGACTTCCCCAGCTCCACATCCACCTCAACCAGCATCTCCTCCAGTGCACCTTGGGCAGTGGTCAAAATGGGGGGCAACCCCCCAAAGAAGTTACCCAAAGTAACCCGACATTGTGGAAAATGACGATTAATAGCTGGTATAAACCATTCCCAAATGGGTGGTTTATTCATGTTTGACCCACATTAATGATGATGAACGATGATAAACCAAAGCGTTGGACTTTGGGCAAACGCATTTATGATTGAATCCCATGGCCAGGGCACCATAGCGCGCCTGCTTTCCGTTGAAAACTTTCGAGGCGATGCAACCGCCTAAGGTCGAGAAGTCCATGGACTCGCCAGCGTCCATGCCCAGGGTGTAGCCCTCTCCTTGGAGGTTGAGCCGGGACCAAAACTTGCAATAGAAGGGCCAGTTACCCTCTGGTAAACTAACACAACAATGGAAGATCACCATTTTTAATGGGTACTTAAATCAACTATAAATGACCGTTTTCAGTGGCTATGTTAGTTTACCAGAGGATATACAGACATGCAGGAAACAAAGTGGCACTCGCCTTGAATCTTGGGAAGAAAATGGTGGATTTTTTTCTCTGAAAGATGAAGGGTTCGTCCTGAAAAATCCTGAGACATGACCAGTTGCGTTTAATCCACATATTTTGCTGGTACGAGTTTCTTCTGATCAAACCCCCAGTTTTGTTGATTCGATCTCCAACATTTTTTCGCTAAAATTTGGTTAAATCAAAATCGTTATCGCTTCAAAAGGATGCTTGAAATATCTCTTATATCATCTTAAATCCATTTATATGCATATATATCTATATCATCAAATATCCACATATAGTTCTTTGTCAAAATCTCACATCTTTTTCCCCCCTAAAAAAAAAACAACCAAGGCGCTGGCCAAGACAGCTTCCAGGGCACTGCCGGTGATCCCAGCTTCGACGCACGCCAGGCGGTCTTCATGCCGTATCCACAGGACTTTGTCCATCCTTCCTGGGCGAACTGATTCAAGCTTAATGGAATATTTAATGGTATGTTTAATGGTATATGTAATGGTAATGGTTAATGGTGTGTTTAATGGAAAAACCAATGATTGTTGGATTTATTATTGTTGCTTTAAAATAAGTAAATCAGCTTCATTTCAGACAAACCCAAATCTTAACCATTGATATTGATTCTATACCGTTATATACAAATAAAACCCTCCCGTGTCAACATGGCGATGGCTAGCTGGGAAATCTACCAGTTCAATGGAGGTTTCTAGCTGGAAGATCAACTGTTTTTGTGGGAGATTGTCCAGCAAGCCATGTGTGATTATCGGAGGGACAAAAAGTGGGGAGACCCATGGAACCCAGCCGTTTTTTTCCTGGGAAACGGTCACGGACGCGCCTTACCTCAAAACCCAGGAGTTCGGATGGGCCAAGCCCTGTCAAAATGGGTCAATCCCTGGGATTCCTTGGGCCATCTCCTATATCTGCATACTTTCCCATGGAAAAAAAAACATGTTGGAGAAGTTTGCGACATCAAGGTCAAGAAGTCTCAGAGTCCACTGCCACGAACCGAAACTCTTGGTGAACCAGCCCCCTTGCCATGATCCCTCCGCTGACTCTGTTGTTATTGACTGGCTTCGAACCCTGTTTGTTGTTGCGTGAATGTGAATACATTGTCCCAGTTGCTGACGGGTTTTTAAATGATTTTTAGAAACGCAAACGCATGTGTCATGTTTTTGCCCCCATGATCATCACTGTCCCCAGCCCGTTTTTCTTATGGCCACAACCCGGGGCCCTTATGGCATAGCCTTATGGGCCCATCTCCCCATTCATGGAGACAAACCCAAATATCACATTGTCGGAGAAATATATATATATATACACATAATTTCATATACACCATGAAATATCGCATGCTATCCCATTATTTGCATATAATGTATGTATGTATATATATATATGTGTATATGTATATATATATATATGTATAAGTATGTAAGTATGTATGTAAGTAAGTAAGTAAGTAACTAAGTAAGTAACTAAGTAAGTAACTAAGTAAGTAACTAAGTAAGTAAGTAAGTAGGTACGTACGTACGTACGTATGTATATATGTAATGTATGTATATATGTAATGTATGTATATATGTAATGTATGTACTGCATGTAATGTATGTAATGTAGGTAATGTAATGTAATGTAATGGAATGTAATGGTATGCAATGGTATGCAATGGTATGCAATGGTATGCAATGGTATGCAATGGTATGCAATGGTATGCAATGGTATGCAATGGTATGCAATGGTATGCAATGGTATGCAATGGTATGCAATGGTATGCAATGGTATGCAATGGTATGCAATGATATGGTATGCAATGATATGGGTATGTAATGGTATGTAATGGTATGTAATGGTATGTAATGGTATGTAATGGTATGTAATGGTATGTAATGGTATGTAATGGTATGTAATGGTATGTAATGGTATGTAATGGTATGTAATGGTATGTAATGGTATGTAATGGTATGTAATGGTATGTAATGGTATGTAATGGTATGTAATGGTATGTAATGGTATGTAATGGTATGTAATGGTATGTAATGGTAGGGTAAATGGTATGCAATGGTATGCAATGGTATGCAATGGTATGCAATGGTATGCAATGGTATGCAATGGTATGCAATGGTATGCAATGGTATGCAATGGTCTGCAATGGTGTGCAATGGTATGCAATGGTATGCAATGGTATGCAATGGTATGTATGGTATGTAATGGTATGTAATGGTATGTAATGGTATGCAATGGTATGCAATGGTATGCAATGGTATGCAATGGTATGCAATGGTATGCAATGGTATGCAATGGTATGCAATGGTATGCAATGGTATGCAATGGGATGCAATGGTATGCAATGGTATGCAATGGTATGCAATGGTATGCAATGGTATGCAATGGTATGCAATGGTATGTAATGGTATGTAATGGTATGTAATGGTATGTAATGGTATGTAATGGTATGTAATGGTATGTAATTAATGTAATGTAATGTAATGTAATGTAATGTCTGTCTGTCTGTATGTCTGTATGTCTGTCTGTCTGTCTGTCTGCATGCATGTATGTATGTCTACAATATTATGTATATATGATTATATACATATTATATATAATAGATATTATATTATATACGTACATATTATAGATATACATATTATGTGTATATATATATTATTATATATACATATTATCTATATAGTATATTATATATATATTATATATATATGTATATCCATATTATATATATACACATATTATATATATACATATATTATAACTACATATTATACAGGAAAAAAATACATAATCCCCAGGTCATGGTCAGCTCTATATCTCCATGATTGCTAACTCGCCCAGTCTATCCTCATGATGGTACGATCCCCGATGCTTGGTTCGACAAGGCCACCATGCCACGCTGAATTCCAAGGTTCGCATGTCCAGGGCCACTATGGGCCTCCGATCATCTTCGCTCGTCTCGGGGCAGCCAGCTGAAACGCCTGCGTTTCGTGCGTGAAACCGGGATATCATAGGATATTTCTGATATTTCTGATAAATCAAGAATATGTCATGGGTAGATTGGTCCAGGTTCAAACATTTTGGAGCCACTGCAGTCCTTCAATTTCCTCTGGCCATCTCCCACTGGGATGGCTCTACAGGCAGCAAGGGATCCTAGTCACACAAGGGCCGCTATTACAAGTTTAGGTGTCTTTCCAAAGCGGCCATTTTCCACCATGTGTGTGTACGTACGTACGTACGTACGTACGTATGTATGTATGTATGTACGTACGTACGTATGTATGCATGCATGCATGTATGTATGTATGTATGGGCATTCGGCCTCAATCAATTAAACGCCTCAACCATTTGTGTTCTTTAAGTGTATACTTAAAGAATTGGAAGAACCCATTAAAAAAACAAAAAAAACAATCTGAAACAAGGATAAACAGTTAAACAATTCGATTTTGGGGTACTTGTCCATCCTGACCATCTTTTACATCATGACGTCGTGATGACGTCACAACTTACCCAGGTCTGTTACCATCTTCACCCAGGGCCCAGGGCTTCCCGGACCTGTCCGACCGCCCACAGGAATGACCATGAAATCGTTCGCGCCGTCTCCGGTGGCCTTCTGTAAAATTGAGATCACCTGCCACCAAGCCGCTGCAACCAGATGATTGTTTTGGGAGATCTTTGCGGCATCATTTATGCCTGGAATCATATGGCAGTGTGTCAAAACCCTGTACCCCTGGTGAACATCAAAATAGCTGGTACATGGATCTTCATCCCACTAAAAATGGTATTAATAGGTATTGATCCATACCCATATGACTATCATTGTTTTTTTCGGACTCTCCGTGTGATTTTTTTCCTGGAGGTTTAGTGAATCCCGGGCTGGCATTCAATGGGGGGTTTCCATGAAGAATCTGGACTGCAAAAGATCCAATCTCACTGGGTACTATGTTCCCCCCAGCATCAAAAAACACACCTCAGATCATCCCTGCAATGACCCAGAAAAAGTTAGCGCCCTGCAACAGAAAGAAATCCACAAAGCTCAAATAAATTCACAAACATCCAAGAAGAAACCACACATACACACAACAAAAATCGAAGAAGTCTAAAATCTCCTCAAATTCATGGGTATGTCTGAATAATGGGGACTACCCCAAAATGCAATCTTTAATAATGTGAATGGGGAAAATTAGTGTCTTTATAACCTTCGGTCTCGGGGTGCACTGTTCTGAAACAACCCACATTCCAAATCATTCCAAATCCACATCCAAAACAAACAACACGTATGTACTCCCAAAGAAACTATATTTCAGAGATCTAGACTCCATGTAAACATCCAACCAAAACCCATAAAAAACAATCAACAGATCCAAATCTCCAACTCCATCCCCACCTCCTCTTCATTTCTGGGCTGCATCACCAGCTCCGGCATCCGCCGCACGACTTTGGCGCCGCAACGCAGCTGCCAGGGGTCCCGGAGGCGGCCGAGCGACGTCCCCGCGCGGCAGCGGCTCAGCGAGGCGGCGACGGCGGACGGCAGGGAGGCCAACAACTCCTGGGTCGCAAGGCGACGACGGCTGGGGAAATCTGCATACAATTAGATATAGTAGATTCGTACATGTATATTATATATATAAATTGGATAATAGATAATTAGATGTAATGGATTCGTATGTAGTATATATATTTTTAAAAAAAATAGAAGTGCGTTAAAAAAAAAAAACATCACTTTGTTTGGGGTTGAGTCAATAATTATAAACCCATGTAGACATGGTACTTCCCATATTGACCAAGGAGGGTGAAGAGGAATCCAAGGTTCCCTCTATAGTTCCTCCACAAACACTACCTGGAATGGGGGGACCCAAATTGGCCCAACCACTAGTCATCCGCCATTTCAAGCGATGTGTATGTTTGGATTTCATTGAACAATAGGTTGAAAAGAATACCTGGCCTATCCATCCAGTATCTGGTAAGTGAAGCTCAGCAAAGGGCTCCAAGGTTGGCACAAACATTTATGGACTTACTGGGAAATATATATATATATATTCTGAAGTATGTCATAGTCATGTACATCGCATCCGCCAAATTTTGAACGCATCCCATCCTCGAAACTGGCGACAACTCCTCTGCCGCCAAGCATCTGCACTGGGCTCTGGCAACTCAGGGAGAGAGCTGTCGCCCCTGGCGCTTTGGACTCGTGGCTTTTTCTGGAAGAACTCCCAAAGGCCCTTGATCCTTCGACTGATGGCTGGATAGCGATCAGAGGTAATCCGCACATGACTTGCAACTCCACCTGCGGAAACCAGTTCGAAGCGAGTGTCTGCGAAGCCCCAGCGATACAACGAACTCTCTGTGCAGGCTTGGCACGAAGGCTCCGAATAGTCCTCTGATGATCGCTGAACATGTTCGCGCCAACCGGGAACGAACTCATCTACCAAGCTGCAATAGCCAAGCATCGCGTCTGTGCTGCTCATGCTTTGCAACTCTGACCATGCATCCCACTTTGCCCTTGCAACCTGCTGGAAAACACTTGGTCTTGAGCCCTGTGCAGGACCTACAGTCGCTTGCTTGTAGTGAGCATAGAGTCGTAGCTTGTTTCTGTCGTCCAACTGCTGAAGAGTCTTCACAGCATCTTGGGCAGCCTTAAACAGAATTTCATCACTTGCAGGTTCAGCTTCAGTTGTGACCGGCTGGTTCTGCGAAATGTGTCCCTCTTGGACATTCTCGCGCCAACCGGGAACGAACTCATCTACCAAGCTGCAATAGCCAAGCATCGCGTCTGTGCTGCTCATGCTTTGCAACTCTGACCATGCATCCCACTTTGCCCTTGCAACCTGCTGGAAAACACTTGGTCTTGAGCCCTGTGCAGGACCTACAGTCGCTTGCTTGTAGTGAGCATACAGTCGTAGCTTGTTTCTGTCGTCCAACTGCTGAAGAGTCTTCACAGCATCTTGGGCAGCCTTAAACAGAATTTCATCACTTGCAGGTTCAGCTCCAGTTGTGACCGGCTGGTTCTGCGAAATGTGTCCCTCTTGGACATTCTCGCGCCAACCGGGAACGAACTCATCTACCAGGCTGCAATAGCCAAGCATCGCGTCTGTGCTGCTCATGCTTTGCAACTCTGACCATGCATCCCACTTTGCCCTTGCAACCTGCTGGAAAACACTTGGTCTTGAGCCCTGTGCAGGACCTACAGTCGCTTGCTTGTAGTGAGCATAGAGTCGTAGCTTGTTTCTGTCGTCCAACTGCTGAAGAGTCTTCACAGCATCTTGGGCAGCCTTGAACAGAATTTCATTACTCAGAGAGCCCGACGCGCCGACCATGCTAGCTTCATGTCATTGATCACTACAAAGTGGTTCAAGAGAGTATGTTGGAGTGTGTAGTATGTTGGAACTGCTGGATGCTGGAAGATTCCTTTTCACACCTCAAAATTGCATGGTGAGAACCTCAAAGGTTCCATGTCAGGAAATCGCATCTTCAAAATGTGGATGTCATTATGGTGATTACTATCATAAATCAGCTATAAATCCGATTAAATCCTTAAAAAATGCTCATGTTTGATGATTGAAGCACCATTTTCCCACGGTATTTAACCACTTACGATTCCTGGCATGCACATCCTGAGGTTTCAACTCAGCCTCAACTTGTGCCAAGTTCCCCAAGAACCAAGTGGGTCTCACGCATCTGCTGACTTCATCATACTTTCGCTGCTTTACCCATTAAAGTATGAATGGATCAGCAATAACTATAAATGGGTAAATCCACTATAAATGGCCATTTTCATCATACATTGTTATTTTCCATGGTTATGTTAGTTTACAAGAGGATGTTCATCTAGGATCCTCTACCTTAAGGCAGAATTGCGAGTCTTCGCAAAAGCTGAAGCCAAACAGTGGAGCCAAGACAAGCCGGGCATTGTTTGATCAAGGGGATGGCAATGGTTGTGGCTAAGATTGGGGTACCAACGGTCATTGTTTATACTAAACACTAAATCATCCAAGGTCGGGGGTAAATAGTTGAATCATGTTGAATAATTTCAAGCCAGAGCCACACGGCCGTAGTTTTGCCTTGCAGCAACAAAAACCACAAGTTGATGGCCTTAGAAACTGCGACAGCCATGATCCTCTATGTAACCACTAAGCAAACAACTTGTCATCTTCAAGCTTCAAGCCATCAAACTCTGGTGGTACAAATATACACAAGTGAACCCACTCTTGTTCAGAATATCCTCTCTGATTTGTGGTGAAATCCCTTTCTTGCGGGTTCTGAATGCCAGACTTTGCTATTGCCACCTCAAGGATCCCTGAAAACTCACCAGCTCTCACTGGGCTGAAGGGAAATCGATAGGGTAGCCCTGGGTTCTTGGCCCTTATGCTCCAGGGTCCGGAAATACTCCAAACTTGGGCTGAAGGATACGATGCGGCTATAGCCTCAGGTAATTCAACACGGGCCATGGCTTCAGTACGTTAAACCACCAGAGGCTACATCCTAAGGACGGCTGGAGTTTGCAGCCGTCTTTCAGAGGTACCTTCGAATCATTCCCCACGTTCCATGTTTCCCCATGGTAAGGCGGAAGCCGAACACCAGGTTTTTGGTGGCAGAAACCAGGCCCACACAAGCGACGTGTCTGTTTTCACTTCTTGGGCAGCATTGACCGTCGCGCGTGCTGGAGTCATTGCTTGCAGATGTGATTTGCAGGCTTATCTTGTTCGCGGAAAAAAAAACTCTGAAAAGCTTATATATATATATATATTTATATCATATTCTTTACACCTTAAATGACCCGGAAAATGTGCGTTTCTATGAATTAGTTCTGTATTTTATCGTTTCCGAACAATATTGAGCCAAACCGGTGTAAAGCCGTTTAATCTTCAAAAAATGGGTGTTTATGAACTTGGGAAGCCCCAAGTTAACCAATGTCTCCCTTCCCTTGGCTCTACCTCACCACGGCCATGGCTATACATCAAAATTTCGCCAAGTTTTACCGACCGAATTTGTGAAAAAAATGCAAACATCAGCTTAAACCCTCCATTTCTTCGCCATAGAAATATTATAGAAATATCACTAAGATTCACTAAGGTCTTTAGAATTTCAAACGTTTTGGGATTAGTATAGTCTCTACTCTACTATACTACGATGCTATACTATACTGCGATTAGTATCAAATCTTCAGCCAGCACTGCACATCTCGCCCCAGATTTTGCTACACCCCCAGGCGAGGACTCTCACTCGGAGTTCAACTGGGCAGCGATCCCGACACACCAAAGATATGGCCACGGGGGATATCACCTAAAGGTGAACCGATAAAGGAAAAACCATGGGAAATGGTTTAAGGGGGGAAAAAAACTAAATGATGGTTTTGAAAATCATGTTCCCATGAATTTATGGCTACGTATACACAAAGCTGGGCCATTTTCCAGACTGGAATCATCAACCCCATCTCTTTTGCGGGACCCAGTGCTCAGGACGGCATGCTAAGTGTCCATTCCTCAAAAACCTTCCATCTTCACCTACAATCCTTGGACAAAAAGAATTTTCTCCATCTTCATCATGTTCTCCCATGTTCTCCCAGAGAGTTCAGTTCCATGTTCTTCATGGTAAAATCCCAGAGAGTTCATGGAGTGTTCTCCCCATTAAAAAAAAAAAAAACATTTTGCCACAGCCCCTGAAAAACATTCAAACCCCCCTGTCTTTGCTCAGCTACAGCAGCTACAGTTGGATCCCCAGGTGTCCCCAACGATGGGCGCCGGCACGATGTACTCGCAGGCGGATTTGGGGATCCGCCTGGCCCCGGAAAGAAAATGACCATAGAAATAGTGGATTTACCATGATTTACCCATTAAAAATGGTGATGTTCCATAGTTATGTAACAGTTTACCAGAGAGTAAACCCAATACCATAAACTCCATCCGTCATGGTAGGTCTATGGCACCGGGTTGCCAATCTATGATTTCAAGAAAGTCGTCTTTTCGAAAGAACATGCTGGGCAATGGTAACCATTTGTGTATAATCCAATATCTACCACAATTGGTGAAAAGCTCTAATTCAAAAAAGAACATGCGACCATTTTTCTGCCCCTTTCGACCACATCCCGCAGTTCCCGCCTTATAGCTGAACCAAAGTTGTTGCTTGGCTTACAGTAAAGCTCCAGAAACAGTTGGAGGATTTTACCATGCCCAAAGTTGGTTTGAGAGATGTTGTGCCGAAAGATATCCACCGGGTGCAGGTTGAATTTGTTTGGTTTATCCCCAGACTCGTGGTCACATATCAAAGGCTATAAACAATGTTTCTGATTATATATACTCTGCCGTTTTTGTTGGTCATACTCCCAGCTTTGGTGGTCAATTCCCGGTTTCTTTGCTTGAATATATATATATATACATATATATATATATCATTATATATATATATCATTATATATATATCATTATATATATATCATTATATATCATCTGTTCCCGTTTACATCCTCAGTATTTGTTCGTAGATGTGGTAAACTCAATCATAAACCATCCCATTAACCAACCATGGCTGGGAGTCATTGAGAACATCATCCCATTGCTAGGGGGTTCTTCCCAGTGCCATAAACCTCTTTATATTGGAAATGGTTTATGGCATTAGGTTTGCCACATGATTTGTAGGTTAAACAAGGTTAAACCACATATCATCATTATTATCATTGGGCTTACCACGTGTACCACATTATTATTGGGTTTACCCCTGGTCATGCCCATGTTCCTTCCAAAAAGGCCCCCACCTCAATCGGTCCAGCCAGCGTCGCCAGAAGGGTCTCGCAGCCGCACTGTCCACCTCATGGAGAGCGAGCAAAAAACATGGAAAGAGAAGTAGAAAAAAACCATGGAGGTTGCCTAAAATGAAGGTATGCCCAAATCATCCCAAAGGTATGACGTTTAAGTCTTGAAACAACCATGGTGACTTGGGGATCCCCCATTTTGAGATCCATTTAGCCAGCCAAAAAAAAAAACTTTTTGAACATAACTAGACTAGGATTCAGCCAACTAAAAATTAGGATTGAATCTGCAAAACACACCGGTCTAAGCTGCCCGGCAAAAGGCGCAGCTGCCTTTTTCCACTAAGAACCACAGGCCGAAATGCTGCAAACGAATCGACCTATCGTGACAAAAGAATCGCTGGCAAACCTAGATGCATGGCTGTCAGATCAATTGCTTCTAGCTAAATTCACACTGACCAAACTCTTCTTTGGTCTGACAGCTTTTGCATCAATCTCATGAAACTGTGCCCAGCCCAACTGTGATCTTAGATCACGTGCTCGACCATATTTCGTAAGGCCGTCTGCTATTTGATTGCGTGTTGGCACCCACAGCAATCGGGCTTTGGTTTCTTTGGAGCCAATCTTTGGTTTTCTCACCGCACACATTTTTCTCAAAAGAACAACCTGCAGGATGTTACCTTTTTCGGGGAGGTGTTGGCCATCCTTTTTGATATGGTCATAAATACTACGACAATCCGTAATCATAGTCATAGGGGTAATAGATTGATAGTCTTCTTCGTCCAGGTAGTACATGACCTTGGACCCCAGTCGGGCTTCAGCGGTCAAAACCTGGAGAAATCGACCAAGTCCATGACCCAAAATAGCCGCATGAGTCTCAGCAGCTAATGAACTCTCCACTACCCGTTTGTCGGTTGATGATTTCCAGTCCAAGACATTCATCGCAACTGGAACCGTTTCTTCACAACCATTTTTCGGGACAGCTCCTATCACCACACCCTTTTGGGAATAGATCATTTTCTTCTCTTTGCCAGTTTGGAGGATATCATCAGCGGTTTGTTCTGAGACCTCAGTTCCTACACTGTTGTACAGAGCAGCATCGTGAAAAACTGCTATCTCCCAATCATGTCCTAGAGGTCGGAACTTAAGCACATGTCGGTTCTCCTTGACTTCCTTGATACAGCGGTTGGCTCTTTGTAAATCGAACACTCTCAAATCCTTTATTCTTTTCTGTAACTGATTAGTTTCAAAACTTATATCAGCTCTGGATTGAGTGCTCAACCATTGTAATGATCCAACAGCACTGCGATAATCCGTCAATTCGGTCTCCGACACATGTGCGGAAGGGTCCTTCTTCCTCTCGGCAGTGATTGGTATGCTTTCCAACCGACCTGAAATAAATCCGTCCTGTGACAGAGAGATGATTTTCTGACCATTTTCTTTTTCAACACGAATTTCTTTGCCACAATAACTCACTCCAGAAGATTGTTGTTCAACATTCAACCACGTGCCAAAAGGAAATCTCTGATGCAACTTTTCGAACGCCTCCGAGGTAAATGGAGAATCATCCCCGGCCAACATGATGTCATCAACATGGACTATCAACATACCCTTGAGTTCACCTAAAGGGTCCCTGAGATAGTACAAGGCGGGGTCTACCTCGCTCTTCTGAAAATTCAACTCTTCCTGCAAGATTCGGGAAAGCTCGTTAAACCAGGATCTTGGAGCGTCTGGGCGCCCATAGACACTCTTGATGAGTTTGATGAGTTGTCCAGGTTTTAGTCCCGGTAGACCCTGACGTGGCTGCCGCATGAACATGTCTGGCCCTTCGAGGGGAGCACCTTGTAAAAAGGCATTGCTGATGTCACCAATAAACCAATTTCGAAACCAACCATTACAAACAACATAATTCAAAAACAGCATAGTAGCAATTCTTTCAATAGTAGGAGAATCAACCTGAACATCCCCACCAACCGTATCAGGGCAAAGGTGACCAGCTATGCATAACCGAGCCTTCGCCTTGAGGGGCAGTGGCTGTCCAGTTTCAGAGACGAGTCCAGCATGCTTGTTTCTCATGACCAGTCGTGAGGGAAGAATCCGATCGGGGAATTCCCTCTCAACCCGTTCACTCTCAGCATGGGACAACACTTGACACGAGTCATACTGAAGCCAACTATCCCATTCCTTCTGGATGGCAGCTTGATACTCAGGCATGTCTTTCGGATCAATTTTATCATAAGGAATTTCCTTGTCCAACATCTTCTTCAACTTGTTGCTACTCTGAGAAACTCCTACCTGCATCACTCGAGATTCATCACCATCTAATTTCACTTTCTTCTTAATCTGCCAAGGAACAGAATCACTGCAGATCTGTTTGCGGGAACGTCCAGCAAAGATACTTACCAAAGTTTGCACTGGCCCGCCCACAAGGGGACCACATGGTTCTGACAAAGTGGCCCATGGGACATCCTGTTCAAGTTTGATCCAACGACCCCCTCTATATCCCCAAGTAGTTCTGTACGGAAAATCTTCGGGTTCAAACCGCGGAATGGGAGTGAGATAAGCCCAAGCTTTTCGATCAACCTTCATGGGGTTCCCATAATCATCACGAGTCCAACCAATAATCTGAGAACCACTCAACACAGAACGAGGAACCATTCCGGGGGTTTGTTCAGGGACATTACCTTCATCCATCAGATCATCACCCAAACTTCCCAAAACCACATCCCAAGCATCCTCTTTTGGGCTTTCCTGATTAGTGAGATCTTCATAGGTGGCCTCGTTAGGAACCCTCTTAAACAACGCAACCAACTTCTGAACTTCGGGGTCCCCAAAATTGCTTTCATCACCAACAGCTTCCCTGACATGTTCATTAGCAACCAGAAAACATCTGCCACCGCAAGCAATCCACACATTGGTACCCTGGTGTCCCACTATGTATCCTGGTCCAACCCAACAAGTTCCCCTATCTTTCTTCTTTTGGGTATCCCGGTAAAAGAACACCAATTGTCCAACATGGGTTTCCTGCAATTTTCGGGTACGTTGGTGAACCGTTTTCATGAGCATTTGCTTGGCCTGAGCTTTCACATACTCCATCTTGGCATGATACCGAAAACGCATCCTAGAAGCAATATCAGACGACCTTTCACCAACATCCAAATGGTATCCTACGGGATTCCCAGCCTCAACCAATTCACCAGCAGCACGGGGTTCCCGTCCGAAAACCAGACAAACAGGGGACCAACCATGTTCTCTAACCAAAGAATTCTTCGCCCAACAAGATTCAAAACCAATTCCTTCCATGGCTTCTTTCCCCTTAGCTTGAACTTGGTTAGCCACATTCCTAATCATATCTTTGATGATTTGGTTGTGCCTTTCCACTTTGCCAGCCTGCCAATGGGCAGTCCCAGCAATACTAAGGAGAACGGAACCTTGTTTGCCAACTTCGTGCCAAAAATCAATTCCCCGAAATCCTCCCTCCATGTCCACAGTGACCTGGTTTGGGGCTCCAGCCCAAGAAATCCATTTGTTGAACAGAACATCATACAACTGTTTAGGGGAATGATCTTCCAACCAACCAACCATGTGATAAGAAGTAGCCCGATCAACTATTGACAAAAACCAATGTCCCTTACCGGCCGTGTCATGAACCTGAAAACAGTCAACATGGATTTCATCCCCAAACGCCACTTGAGAAGGGGGGATACTCGCAGCACGGTGTGTCTTCGGTTTCTGGCTATGAGAACACACCATGCATTTCATCCATTTGATAGCTTCTAGGGTTTCTCCCTGGACGCCACCCAACTTCAAAAATCGCTCCAAGTCAGCGGGACTTGGATGGCCAAGATTGCAATGAATTTTGCGCAGAGCCTGTTGCACAGGCTGGCTCAGCTTGCGTCCAGGGGGCACGTCGAAGACGATGCCCGAATCGCTAAGCACTGATTGCCCACTGGTTGCTCTTCGTGCTGAAACTCCTAGAGATCCTGAAGCACTGCTCGACTGTGCTCCTGCAGATGGGTCCTCAGGGATTTCAGCGTTGTCTGCAACATACACCGCGGACCACTGATCTATAGCCTTCTTCAAGGTCTTCTCAGTCCATCTAAGTTTATCTTTGGGGTGTCCTTTACGAATCCGATTACCAACCTGTCTAAGCATCGATCTTATCCTACTGGGTTCCTTTCTTTTCAAAAGTCTCACAAAACCTTTGTGAATAGCTTGAGCGATTTGTTTTGTGTATTGCCCAGCTTTTTCCGTGATCCTCGCACCGCCAAGACACTGGGCATGTGTGTGATCTCCTGGCTTGATCCGATTCTTACACTTCAAACTGAGTTCGTCACATATTTCCTGAGAGGTGCTGAACCACACTGTCGGTTTCAACAAAGGCTCTTGTGAGATCGCATGCTTTATACCGTATCGGCACCCATGGCCGACAACACTGAAAACAGCAGGATGACTCATGAGACGTCTGAGAGGGGGTTGGTCAAATGAAGCACTGCGCAAAGGGTTCTCTCCTAACGCATCACCACCTAACTCCAGTTGCAGATGAAAAATCTTTTCACAAAACTCTAGAAATGGAAGTTCTGCCAACCGCCTCTTCCTGAGTCTCCGACGAGCTTGAGGAGTAGGATAAGATAGGTTAGTAATAGGAGACCAAACCTTACACGGATATTCAACCAACACCAACCGAGGCCGATATTTACGAATCCAAGCAAGCACCTTTCCCCGATTTTCCTCAACAGACAGATCCATACCATAAATTTGATCGATGGGCTCCAAGACATTCCATCCCCATTGGCTAAAATTATACGAAACTTCGGCTCTTCCACCAAAAATCTCCAAACAGTCCGGTCGAGGTGGGGCCGTGTCGGTGCTTCGTGCAAAAGCCATGCCAATGCTTGCCGCAGTGAAAACGGAAGCTGCAAAGAGGATGGAACAGGCGTTGTGCATACATCTTCTGATCACCCCTTTTTTCATGAACTTCCTACGTTCAACCCCAGCACGAATCCTACTAGCAACCTCACCAGCACTCAGCTTACAACCAGTAGCTTGACCATCTTTCAGAGAGGGATCAGAAGGTGCGGAACGGGGCACGGACTCACTCAGAGCAGACTCAGATGTTCTCGTCGCATCATCACGATGAGAAGTCATTCTGTCTGAGCACGACGGGCTCGGATGATCTCCAACTCCTCCTCCGTGATGTTGGCATTGATCGTCTTGTCGTTCAACTTCTCTTGATCCATTCTGACCCAGGATCCATCTGAGTTTGGATCGCCACCCCGTTTCTTGGTCTTGCTCTTTGGAGTCGATGGCACTGGGATGTGCTCGGCAACCGGATCCAGAGCCGACATGGGCAGAGTGGACCTGCATGTCGGAAACAGGCGACACCCGAGGAACGGCTCCTTGGTGATGCGGTTGTTGCGCACGATCATTGCCACCCCACAGCTTGGACAAGCCGGCATACCACTTACGGCTCGATCCTCCCCCTGCTCCTTGAGGTCTTGGCTCCGGTCGATCAGGAAAAGCTCCAACTCCATGATCAACTGGTTGCGCTTCATGCGCAGCCAGTGATTGTCTTCTTCTCGACGATAATATGGAACGACCACTTCGACGTAGAGCTCTTTCAGGGCTTGGAGGTCGAACTTGCGCCAGTTTGGTGGAAGCACTCGGGCCTTCACTGGCTTCATCACAGCCCATGCCTCCTTCAGCCGCTCCGTGCTGTGCTCCATCAGCTTCTCCTTGGGCAGTCCAGTGGCAGCCGCGATGACTTCCACAAACTCTGCCTTGAGCTTCGGCGTCGTGAAGGTCGCCATGTGGATCTTCCAAAGATTGCACACTGGGACTGATCACGTCTCGAGGTTCACTGCTTGAGCTTGCTGCAGGTTCAATGAACACTTCACATACTGGATCCCTCCAATGAACATGTTTCCCCTGGGTATGGAACACTGAATGATGATCACCTATCGGCCTGTGGTTCTTCCTAGGTGATTCAGTGTTTTCCCAAACCCTGGTCCTGAGAACTTCGTGCTGCAAGTAGCACACCTCATCATCAGTCTCCAGCAACGCTTCCCATTGGCGGCCCACAGAAAACGTCGACATAGATTCATCCCATATGCAGAAACCCACATGTCCTGCAGCATTCTGAATCATAGGCACAGTCTTCTGCAAGACCTTCATCTCGATCTGGTTGTTGGGCAAGTCAAGCACGGCCCCCATCTGAGTCAAGGCCTTGTGACTGACAAGGAGAGGCACATTCTCGGGAACCACACTGACTCGGAGAAAGAGCGTGGCCCCTTCAACTTGCAAACATGTTGGTATCCAAACGGCTTCCTCTGAGAGCACCTTCGGTCCTGGACCGAACCGGAAGGCTTGACTCTCCCGTGTGCAGTAAAAAGGGATCTGCTGCTTCCACAATCGTCGAAGAGCACGTCGCATCCACGCACTCCCAGCGACTGTACGTGAGCAACCTGTATCACTCACCGCAATGTCTGTCTTGTCATACTGCTTGGGGCCCGTGGTCAAGAGCACGGCATGAACTTCCGGGATGTAGGAGTCGATGGAGTCGTTCTCATCGTCAGTGAAAGCACAAAAGACGCCAGCTCCATCATCCTGCTCATCCTCAGTCATGTTCACGCTCTTGACCTTGTAGGGACATGCATCGTCATTATGCCAATGACCAAAAACAGTCTTCCCATGGGCACGACAAGCCGAACAAGCCATAGAGGCTTTCATCTTCTTGATTCGCTGTTCTCGTTCAACACTACTTTCACGTGGTCCTTGGCAAGAAAAGCCTCGCCGCTTTTCAACCTCAGCTCTGCGCTTTGAAGCCTGTGTGACAAGCACTTCTGCTTGTCGTTCCAGTTCTTCTAGATCTGGCGGAGTTGCATCATCTTCATCATCATTGGGCTCATTCTCGATCTCCTGGAAGTCATCATCGGACTTGGCAACGACATTCACTCCATGAGCCTTTCCACGAGGTGTGAAAGGCTTCTTGTCATTGACATCTTTCGTGGATCTAGCAAAGTCTCCATCTTCATCACGCCGAACACTCGGCACGATGGAGATCAGGGCCGTCCTCAGCTTCTCATACTGCAGCACGCCACCACTCGCAGAGATACATTGTTTCCGAAGTTCTTCGGATATACTGGCTGTCTCCAGAAACCAGTAGGCTTTGCTCAGATCATTGAGCTCAGCATCCACCTCCTTGAGCTTTTGAAGCTGGACTCTGTAGCGATTGTCGAACTCTATGAAACTTTCTCCCTTCTGACGTTTGAACTTCTTGTAGAAGTTGGTCAGCACGCCAAAAGTTTGGAGAAACTCAACTGGCTCAAGCTCAGACCGCAAATGTGCCAGTAGGTGTTGTACTCCTTCTGGGTGACGAAGTAAAGTGACATCCATGGTGTCCACTGCGCGCCAAGCAACTCCGGAGAGCTGCTCGACCAGTCGTCCTGCACGGTACTCTGGGTCGATGGCCGTGGTGGACAAGAAGAGGTCAATCCTTTTCTTGTAGTCCCGGATGGGTGTCGTCCCATCCCAGGATGGAATCACTTCCTTCCCTGTTTTCGGCTCCCGGGTTTTCCCGGATTTTCCTTCTGAATTGCTGGTGCTTGGAGCTGACTCTTCCACTGCACCAGCTTGATCTAGGTTCACCGGCATCTGGCGTTCCAGTCTCACAGTCGCCCCATGAGTGCTGTTCTCGGCACTCATCCCACTGGCCATAGTGAGACCATCCACTACCAGAGTTCCAGTCACTCCCACTCCATGCTCGCTGCGTCCACTCTCCATCTTGTCGCCAATCCTGGCGATCCTGCCAGGAAGTAGATCCACTCCACTGCCACTCACCATCATCTTGATGCCAAGGATCGGACCATTGCTGCTGGTCCACTGTTGCATAGCCACTTGATGGATAACCATCGTGCCATCCATCACGCCACTGCCAGTCATCATCTCGTCGATAACCAGCATGCCAATCATGCTGCTGCCAAGTCCAAGACATTGCACATGTGCCCTGCTCCGCGACACCAATGCAAAACACACCGGTCTAAGCTGCCCGGCAAAAGGCGCAGCTGCCTTTTTCCACTAAGAACCACAGGCCGAAATGCTGCAAACGAATCGACCTATCGTGACAAAAGAATCGCTGGCAAACCTAGATGCATGGCTGTCAGATCAATTGCTTCTAGCTAAATTCACAGAATCAACAAAATTTTGACACTGACCAAAAAGAGGGCTCATCAACCAAAAAATGTGATGGTTCCACCAACAAGAATGGAACCGCATGTAACCAAGGAGAAACGGGTATAGCCCGAAAGACTATGGGTTGAACCAATAAACCCCCCAAAAAAAAAACACAACCATTCACTGGCCCATTACCAAGTGGGCTAGTGGAAAACCACAACCATCGTCGCAATGGAGGCTCAATGGTTCTCAATACCCTCTGGTGAACTAACATAGCAATTGAAAATGGCCATAGAAATAGTGGATTTTCCCATTAAAAATGGTGATTTTCCATTGCTATGTTAGTTCACCAGAGGGTAGTTTCCTCGAATGTTGGATGTCCTACTGGGAAAACATCTGAAAAACAAAGCCAGTTGAGGCGCTGACTGAGATGAAACTTCCGGAGGGCAAGGAGTGGAAACTGTTGTTGCTGAACTGCCTGAACATGGGCCGGGAAAATTCATCGAATGGATATGAATGGATGGCGTTTTTGTTCCAGCAAACCATCCTGACCATCTTTGTCTAGAAATATCTGCAACTGTTGCAGATCCACAACCCTGGTCATCCCTCACTTCAGGAAACACCTCACGGCATCTGAAGGACTCGAAACCTCAAGTGATCCAGGGGCTCACTTCACCGCACCCTGGTGGCCCTGGTGCCTCCCGAGCTGCATCACAAACCTCGGTGACGGAAAATGGGATGCCGATGGATGCCTGTTTTTCGATCCAGCGGAAAATCAGATACGTTTTCTTGGGGTGTCCCCCTGGCACATGAGTTGTTCATAGTTATTCTATCAAAGTAAAATTAAGATTTTTCCAAAAATGAGAGGTTTCAACATGTTTCAAAATGTCACAAAAGTGACCAATAGTGAAGTTGACCCTTGACCAAAAATTCGATGTAAATCCATGGAAATCCCATGAGACACGGACCCATCTGGCGCACTATGAAAGACCTGGCCCACGCACTGCTTGGAAAACCAGAAAAAAGGCGTCCTTTGAGGATCACGGCCCTGAAACAGAAATGATACACATGGCGAATCAAATCGTCATGTCATTCATTTATAATTTAGACATATATAATCATATGTATATATATAATATTATATAATATTATATAATATTATATAATATTATATGAATGAATTTATCTTTCTTTGTTTAACTGCATATTTATTTATATAAGTTGGATGGTATAGTATATCCATCAAAATTGTGGTGTCGTACCTATCCGCCTCCCAAACCAGGGTTGTTTCCTATGTGTCCCAACGACCCTGAGCACATGTCTTAAGACCAAGCCTTATGTAAAGATGGATCCACAGCGTGTGCCCGAAATAAATTTGAATCAAACTTATATCATCTCAACCTTTTTCTGGTAAACGCGTTGTTCCCACTTCTGTGTCCAGGAGCTTGTGTGAGTAAAAGCATCTGTCTGTAAAAGCATCTGCGTGGAAGGGCTTGATGTGTTTAAAATCTTTAGTGGGCAAAAACATGGTTGCGACGCCTGTAAAGCTCTGGCTAGCCGTCAAGGTTATGGAAAAGGGAACGTTTGATTGCATACGCACGAAGTGCAGGCGAGAAGCGTGTCTTGCAAATTGCTCATGATATGTTAAACCATGAGTTCTTTGGAGGGGTCACCGAAAATTTCACTTGATATCGTAATTCCAATATAAACTAGCAATATGCTTTATCCCATTTCGTCGTACTGAAAGTTTCGAACCATTTTTTTGTCCGTCAGAGGTTCGCGCATGCTTTTCCCAGCGCATGCGTGGATCGAAATAATGGTACCATCCTGCAGCACACCATGTGAGAACCGATAACCGCATCCACTTGTGGAGGAAACTCTGTAATTACCCACCCACCCCGCCCCCCGAGACCCCCATCCACCAACTGCAAATACTGTAGAAATTTCTACCCACCATGGACCGAATCCCCCGTCAAGCAGCGCCAGCCCCACATACCGATCAAAGATCGCAGGAGAAATGGTGACCTCACCCGCGCGTGAGTTTGCTGCTGAATTTTATGCTATTCCATGACTAGAATTACGCGCTACAAATAACAATTTATTGGGTTTAATATCAGAAATGAATACAACTTGTTATGACCACAATAATTCGGGATAATTTGGATCTGTGTGAAAACAAGTTACCCAAAACTTGTTGGTTGAGACTCATTTTCGCTGTGACATGTTTACAGACACAAACATTGGGTTGATCATAGTCATTCGGATGATTTGTGTGCCTCAATTTAAATGACTTTATCTGTGAATATTTTTTCATCATATTGAAGATCCATTTATCAACCACACCAAGGTTTGCCATGGAAGGGAATGTGTGCGGCAAACCCAAACTCTTGGCTGCCATAAAACAACAGTATACTGTTTGATGATGCTTCCTGATATGGTTTTCTAGCTTTTCAATCCTTTTCGGCGTTTGCCCTTCATCTGGGCTGCAACAACCCTTCCCATGGAGGGAAAAAAACAAAAATCGACTCAATGAACTCAGGCCTAAATCCCCAAAGTCACCATACATGGTCGGTAAAAACATGTAAAAACACCATCCCCAAATGGAAGTAATTTATGATGTAATTTATGGCAGCCAGGGCTTCCCATGTGCTTCCCACATCCAACAGTATCACCTCCAACCGATACACATCTTCCAGAAATTGCTGAGAGCGCCACCACATTGCTCCAGCCCATGAAGTCGAAGTAGTAACGCTTCTTGGACTCCAAGTGTCGCCTCAATAAACGTCCGGAAAACCATGGATGCGGATGGATTGAGTCAAGGGAAACTCATCGTGTTTTCCTTCTTTACGTGGTGTTTACATATTTTTATATGTTTTCTGCCATCAAATATGGGGGGATGCCTGTAAATGTGAAAGCATCTGGACCCAGTAAACCATGATGAAAATATCATGTCAATCACCGAATTCACCCATGATGTTCTAAATCCCAGCAAAATAAGCATGTACTTTCTCCAGGTGAATTTCAAGCTGTAGTCCATGGGCTCAAAAATTATCAAAATCCTCAAAGTTTACCTGCCTGCATTCAGTAGGCCACCCTCAGCCCACGATTCCCACGTGCGACTGAGACGCGGATCACTGTTCCCGTTCTCATGACCAGCTGGCAAGTCATACATGCACACGTGGATCGGAAAATCCTGCAGTGTCCACCGTCACAGGTCAGGGGGGAGGATAATTCTTTTTGAATCATTACTCAGATTTGAATAAGTCATCAGAAATACATGCGCCATTTGTCCCTAACAAGTTAGCTAGTATACGATCCCTATAATTCCTCATCAACTAGGCTATAACTTTAAGGAAGATGAAGCCGTGAGCCTTCATGAAGTGATCCAAACTGACTCGCGCGCCCATTTTCAACTGCCAATTCAACCTGAGTCTGAGGGCAAAGGACTTTCTTGCAAAGAAGGATTTCACCCGCAAACATGATCAATTCATGCAGATTCAAGCTGGAAAAATGCTAAATCGGAAAAGTCGGGATTGAAAAACATGGCGATAAGTGCAGAACATTTGCAAAGGCACAAGTACCACATTTGGGGACCACAAACGGCTAAACGGTTCCTCGTGTTTCCTGCTTAACAAGTTCCAGGGGTCATTCATGCTGGACGTCGCATGTGTCTTCTTATATTGTATGAGATAGGTGCACACCCATCAACAGTGAGAGTCCATCATTATCATCATCATCATCATCAGCACCACCATCATCATCATCATCATCATCATCATCTCCTTTCTTTTGATTCTCCGTTCTCGATTGGTTGCATCCCTGTCTCTATTGGCCAATTCCTCTACTTGATGCTTCCCACATTACTATTATTGTCAGAGACGTGATCCAGATAGAGGTCCGCAGAACTGGTTTCGACGCTCGAAACCATTCGAAACCCATTGTCATCAGGACGATTAGCGTTAATAGTCATGTTACTATCACTAGTGCTGCAATCCCCTCTGAGAAGATGTTTACTCCAAAATCTCACCCACTATTGCATAGTATTACTACAAGGTGAGGCCCCCCACTTTGGTTAGCTTAGAAACCAATTAACTATAGTTACATCCTCCATAAACCCTAGTTATCCAAGTTAGAAGTTCACTTGGCTATCTATGTCTTATCGAAATCTGCCTGATTTCCTGAACTTGGCATTTTCTGCGAACCAAGCGTGGCCCTGTCGTTCTCTTAGCAGGCGACACATCCAGGAAAGGAGCAGGACCCCAGAGTCGGAAGGTGTAGGTGTCCTGCTTCGCAACGGTAAAACCCGTGGGGATTTGCCAACCGATACTACGACATGTCCGGAAAAAAACCATGGAAAAACCTGCAGTTGTTTCCCTGAAAAACCGGGTCTGACTGTGAAGTTTTTAGAAGAAACCTGGGTGTTGATATTTCCAACATGATTCAGGACCGAAACTTGGATTCAAACACCAAAGACATTGGCTTAGCCAGTCCTCCGTATTCAGCGTCCCCTCGATCTCTTGGATCATCTTGCTGTACTCTGCAAGGCCTCTATGGCGAGGCCATGTCTTGTGAGAGGTGAAATCTGTCATTTCACAATTATTATTCTTCTTATGTTTAATATTCCTATTACTAGTGATTACTATTGTCATGATTATATATGATTATTACTAATATACTCTTACTATTACTACTATCATTGTGATTTCTCATTGTTTCTTAGAGATTCTTACTACTATATCTACTATCATTTGTCTTTACTGGACCCATTTTGACCTGTGCCTGGAAGCTGACACTAATGGGGCAGTTGTTGGGTCGTCCTTCCTGGTAATCCACCATCTGATTGGTACGTTTGCGAGCCCTACAGTATTTAGTTGTTCTTTGGCTAAAACCATACATCCCCTCATTTTCCGACATACCCAAATACAAAGTTTGTTATAAATGGAATGATTGTTAATTGTTAATTGTTCTCCATTATGTAAATAAAAAATGGTAATTGCTGGTTATTAAATGGTTGCTTGCTTTGGTATATGATTTCCATTGTTTTATTCAGTGTAATTCAAACATTATTGAAAACAAAATCCAGTCCGTTGTGATAATATGAACAAGATTACAATCTATGAGCATGTCCATTGTATAAAGGTATGATATACCGATATACCATATATCCATTGTATATTATGATAACATAATACCTCTTGTGACTTCAGAGTTACCACGCAATAGCAAATGAATTGGTAGACAAACTTCCAACATCATATATTTTTTCATATCCACTATATCTCATATTGCTATTATAACATCCTATTACATAATATCCTAACATCCACTATCATATTATAAATATATGGAATCTAACATCCTATGTCCCACAAAGTACATCAATCCCCTCAAGGATATCGCCTACATCTCGGCGCATCAAGCTCAACCTCAGCGAAAATCGGATGGCGCATGGAACGAGGGGCCCAAAAGGGCCCTTAAAAATCGACGCAAAATATGGGTTGAAAGGAGAAAATGATTGAAAATGAAAATGCTCAAAGTTGAAACAGTTGAAACCAAAACTGGGTTTTTTGAAACCGCCCCACCATTTTGAAAGGGCCCCCTTGGGCCCTTAACGGCGGCCCAAGGGCCCAAGGGCCCGACCCATATTCCTCGCTGGGATCGTCGAGGTCGCTCGCCACGTGAGGGATGGGCCTGTTTAAGGCCAGGGATCTATCCTCTGGTAATGACTAACGTAGCTATTGAAAATGGCCATAGAAATAGTGGATTTTCCCATTAAAAATGGTGATGTTCCATAGTTTTTTGTATGTTTACCATAGGGTATCTGATTTGACTGGATCGAACCAGCATTTCACTTGGTGGAACCCACAATTACTGGAACTTGAACCCACAATTAAGAACTTGATGCAACCGAAAAAAAGGCAGTTAAGTTGCTGGAAGCAACATCTAAGTTGATTGAACCAACATTCAATCTGATTGATGTCAGCAAAATGGATGTGAAGCAACCAAACATTAGGATTGAACCCACCAAGACTGAGGTTTGAATGGGCAAAACAAGGAAGATTTAACCGACAACGGCGTAAGCGAGCCCCTCACCTGTTAACTTTTGGATATCACTGTGCAACTGGGGTGCACCCAAACATATACTGCATATACTTGTATGTATAGAGAGAGAGAGAGAAAACATATATATATATATTATAATACACAGACAGATCAGTGTCTATATCTGTGTAATCAGTGTCTATATGTATACTACATATGTAATCATTTAAATATACATTGACATTCATGTGTGCACACCAGTCATGTGTGGCACGTCCATCCCAACAGGCTCACACCTGCCATTCGGAGTGATGATAATCTGGTCAAAGACTGTCAGGTCCCTGGAAGAATCAGAATCAATGCAATGTGATGAGTAGACCGCATTTCAAATGGTTAAAAGATGCGAACAGGCTATCTTAAAACAAAAAGGTTTGTTGTGATTTTGGAAATACAAACGGAATCTTGGCTGCCAATCACAATAGACTTAGCAAACAGAAAGGCTCTTGGGGGGTTGAGCATGTACATAGGCCATAGCGGAGCTATGGCAAAAGCCTCCCGCTCTGAATTCTTGGCAGCAAGCAAGTAGCTTCTGGGTGCTTTTTGAAGCGTGTTCAATATCTGTGGCAAGATCTGTACCAAAAGGAGCAGTCCAAGATATTGTTGACAACAAAAAACATCCAACTATCCAACTTTCAGCACTCATAACAAGTTCATCCCGAGAAAAAGGGGGAGTAAATGGCTACTCAAGTAAAATATGTCAACACCATCATGTTTCAGGGTGTTCAACCACTTATCAACCCCTATTTTCAAAGCTTCTGCCATCTCTCCATGGATTCTACCATCATCCAAGTGTGGGAATAGGTGGAGTCACTCCATCGACTTCATACTGGTTCTAGGGATCAACTCATTGTAGATGATGTTCCTTGGGAAATAATGGTTTGTCCAATCCTGCGTTTGTTTGCACCGCACCATATCATCTATATATATATACATCTAAGAGCATTTCCCAATTCAAATACCAACGTTTATTTGTTTGATCCATACATATACATCCACATCTATGTATGTAATTATATATATATATACGGGTAAATTGTAACATTTCACTAGCCTAAAATTTACGGCCAGTTTCTTTTCCCCAAATCCTCAGCATTCCGTTCGGTCACGACGTGAGGTCACGACGACATAATTTACCCAGAATAATTTACTCTGATCATAGAAAAGTTTTCATCCCCTTTAAAAAACAGTGAAGATTTACTTTTCTATATTTTTGGGGGATGACTATATATATATATATACCCTCTGGTTATTTAACATAGCCATGGAAAATGGCCCATTTATAGATGGTTTACCTATTAAAAATGGTGATTTTCCATGGCTATGTTAAATAGCCAGAGGGTATATATTCATATCTTTGTAGAATATGTCTGTTTCTTCATCCATGTCCTCACCAGACCCACGACGTCACCGCCACGGTTTGCTGCACTGGGACCCGAGACGACACCGCATGCCCCAGTTCCGCATCCTCGCGCAGCGCTTCCTGCAAAAAAGGCGGAGCCATAGTGCTGGGTGCTGGGCCATCTGGGTAAGGTATGTATATATATATATATTGCTTTTTTACTATGTTTATTATCATTATTATTAGAGTTCTTAGTACTATTATCATTATTACTATTGTTATTAATATTATTATCATGATCATTATTATTATTGTTGTTATTGTTGTTATTATTGTTGTTATTATTGTTATTATTGTTATAAATGTTATAGTTGTGTATAAGCATAACTGGACTATAATGTCATTTTCATAATCATATATTAAAATGTCATAATCATGAATACAACATTATTAATCACCTAGCAGATCAGTATTATCATTATAAATCCCCTACCATATTGTATAGTATAATATGAACAATGTGTATCAACATGATCATTATAATAATGGCAAGGGTTATAATGATAATATCAATGATGGCCATCTGGATTATCACTATCATCATGATTTTTGTGCGATTTCATAATATCATATTCTATTGTCATAGTTTGTATTATCATGTATGTATATATATAATATATATATATATAACAGGGGTTGGTAACAAGTCCTGATGTTTAGTGATTTTTAACATCACCCAACTATTAGGGATACAATCTCCAACAGAGACTTGAAAGTGATGCTCAAAATCCAAAAAAAAACGGGACATTTACCAACACCTGTTGTATATGATTATGTGTATATATATATATACGTTATCGGTTTTATCATTGATATGATGTTTGTTGTCATAGTCATAGTCTATTTAAATTGATAAGATTGTTCATGATTGTTCATGATTTCAAAATTGCCATCAATTGGGAAATAAACGTATTTTGAGACAAAGCCAGCTGAAAACCTCGGCAAATACCATGGCTACGGCTCCTGGCATCGCGCGCCCCAAGAGAAGTAGATCCTGGCATCGCTCGGGGACCTCTAGCCCAGTTTACTGGGAAAATGGCGGGTTGGTGGTTCACCCCGGTTGGAGAATCCTGTTCTCAACCAGGATTTTCCATGGAATAACAGAGGGTTTTGAACACTGCATCAATAGGAAGCTCAGGATCCATTAAAACGGAGGTGTCACGTACTTTTTTGGGCCAGATTCTCTGGGGATATTCGGGCACATAGCCCTGAAATTTAGGCCCGAGATATGGTAGCTACCTCCAAATTAGGTTCCTGAAAAGGCCATTGAATATGGGTATGATGAAAAATCAGGTAGATTGACATGGGGAATTATAAATCATACCAGAATATATATGATGGAAACAATAAGAAAGTCGGGTATGATCATCACAGTCACATACCGTCTTCCCACATCAATCCCATTTGAAACATCCGGTCAAAAGTCGAAGCCCTGCTGGCTAAACCCGCAAAGTGCTTCCAGAACAGTCTACCAGAGTCTACCAGTTGGGATGTGCCCAACAACCTAATTTGGAGTGATTTGATACCCATACCCATGTGGAACAACCACAGAGTGCCGTGGATGATGTCTATTTCGAAGCGAGTGCTGATTCCAAGCCCCTAATTTGGTCCTTGAAATGCTTGTTGTTCCAAAAAAACACCACCCACAACGATGAATCCACCATGCTAACACTGGACTGGTTGGCACCTATATTGGTATTTCACCAGCGTGATTGCAGTATTCATCGCCAGTATTGAAGAAGATGCCACCGGCTGATCCTTGGGCGACTAGGTCAGTCGGAAAATGGGGACGAAGTGAAGCCAAATTTTAAAAAAAGTCTTTGCGGTCTCAAACAAAAACCCGGTATCTGGTATCATAATCACCAAAAAGATAGAATTGTAAATAAAACAGGTATTTCAGTGTATATAAGGCTTTATCGTCCTATGTGTCCTATCTTTTTGGAATTGCCCTAATATATCATAATATAACATAATATATCATAATATATCACAATATATCATAATGTATTTTAATACATCCTAATATATCATAATATATCATAACATATCATACTGTATCATAATATATCATATCTACTTGGTTGATAAACCATAGTTAATTCTAGTAGTATCCCACTCAAAAAATGGTCTTCAAGCAGCTTCTTCGTGGTGATTATCTCCAAGCCTAAGCAACAACTTCTCAGAGCCGCCTTGGTCTCTCTGAAAATAGGGGTACCCAAAAAAAAAGGTACGGTAACTACATCTAAATATACGGATTTTAAAATATGCGAACTGGTATTTAGACTATCTTGAAGGTTTTGGCCCGGCCATCTAAACATATGGAATCCAATTTATTTAAACTTAAACATATCTTTGAGTATACGGATGGAACTGATGGTTCATACTACCACAAAGGGGCCTTGTGGTCTGGACCGCCCTAAAAACACGTATAATTTATAGTCGCTAACGTACTTTGAATAGGGAAAATACCCTCTGGTAATTTAACGCTTTGCCATGGAAAGATCCACCCATTTTTAATGGGTAAATCATCCATTTCTGTGGGCCATCTATACCATGGCTATGATAAATAACCAGAGGGTAACATGATTGATCATCAAATTTGGAGATATCCTATTTTCAGACAAACCCATTTGAATTGCCAAAATGACAATTCGAATGAGTTGGGTTTGTCTGAAGATGTGGTATACCCTCCAAAAATGTGGATGATTATAAATTATAATGATAATAAACCATCCTTTGGATGATAAAAATGACCATAGTCATAATGGTCACCTTCTGGAATTGGGGCCGAATTTCACACAGAACCATCTCTCTGGATCCTTCCGACCAATCTGTACCCGGATGTTCCCAGCGAAAATCATGAGTTCTACTGCGTAAGCCGCGCCGTTTTTTGTTGGTTAACCCAATCTACTCAACTACTGCTGTGTCCCGCACCTAGTCCATGCAATTTTCAACTCCAGAGTGATTCCACATCATCTGAATGAAAATCATCCAGTGTCATTCAGCACTACCAAACCGAACCACTCTCCGTTGGTATCAAAACAAGGCCCACCACATGGTTGGATCCCAATGTACCAAACCCACATCGTGGGATCATCCATGAGGATTCCCAGCCAGGTTTGATGACCGTTGGGTATCCCCTTGTTTCATCACAGAATCCCGAAACATCAGAAAACTTTGAAAACGAGCAAAATCATGGAATGTCTCATTGATCAACCGGAAAAAAATCTGGAGGAAATATCATCGAACTAACATCCTGGCATCTTCTCTGCCGCTGATATAATATAATCCAGGATGGAAGAGTGTTACAGACAAGTAATCACTAATTCTGAAATATGGAAACAATGTGGTTTTCCACTATCACCAGAAATATGGAAATATGAAATAGTATAATGTGGGTAAAACAATAATAAACCACTCATTTGGGAATGGTTTACACCACCTATTTATGGATTTTATGATGATTTGGGGGATGGTTTATTATTGTTTTACACACATTATTGGATAAACAATAATCCCATCACCCTAATGTCAACCCTGGATTAATAAACCCCTAAGCTGTTTAATTGGGAGGGTACCTTTTTCCAGTATCAGATTGTGATTATTGGAGGAGTACCCCCCTAAATAATAGCCCATGGTTTAGTCTCATCCGGGGTTGACATTCATATTCAACACCCCATTTCTATGGTCCCAATGATGTGGACATTCCCAACAAAAAACCATGGTTTCGTATGGTTTAGGGGGTGTTTCATATGAACGGGGGTTTTGGGATTATAACAAGTGACAAAAATAGTGGGATTATCCGTAATATTGGGATTTACAATATCCATGATAGCAACGGAAATCCCACAATATTATCCTGATGATGTATAACTGGTTGGTGGTTTCAACCCCTCTGAAAAACATGAAAGTCAGTTGTTCACCTTATTCCCAATATATGGAAAAATAAATTTCATGTTCCAAACCACCAACCAGATAATAAATTCCCTAGTAAACCACTATCCAATCCACGATTTCTCCCACTTTCACCTCCCTGGGTTTTTCTTACATCGACCTTTCTCCACCGTGGGACGTAGTTGAAATCACGTAGCACGGCGCCCACAAAGAGCCGACCACAAGGTGCCTGGAAAGGAATGTTCACCACGAAAAATGTGGAGATCATGGCTTTTTGGAAATGGTTTATATAACAGAATATATATATATTTATTTACTTTATTTATTTATTTATTTATTTATGTATTTATATATATATATTTATTTATTTTATTTAGTTATTCATTTATTTATCTATCTATTTATTTATTATATATATAATCCTGTAGTAGATAGAATATATATATACGGGATTTCCAAACATATTCTCATTCTAGTGAGGTTTCTTTGAAGTGTCCATATTCTATCTACTCCAGAATGAGTATATATACATGGTATATAATCAAATCATGATTTAATATACAGATTACAGCAACGCGTACTATAAATATTGCTCATGTTGAGGATATATTGAAAAAATGGAAATACCAGTAAATCAGTTCATCATGGGTATAGTATATACTGGTCTGTCATCAATCTCGCTTAGTGGATTTGGTTGTTGGTTGTGTCTGAAAACTATGGTAAAACCCCAAGTCATAAGCCAATGGTTTTGGCAAGTCATGTTCACCATGGTATGATGGCCATAAATTGGAAGATACCCTCTGGTAATTTAACATAACTATGGAAAATCACCATTTTTAATGGGAAAATCCACAATAAATGGCCATTTTCAATAGCTATGTTAAATTACCAGAGGGTACCTTGCTTTTGGACCAAACGTTATGCTTAGGGGGAAAATAAACCTCCCATTCGTCATCTGTTTTCGTCATCTGCATCTGGGGATCATCCTCCCAGTAACCAACACTTTTTTAATCATCTGCGTGTTCTAAGATTCTAGGGGAAAAATAGTTGGTTACTACATATCAAAACACATCAGTGCCACACATCTAAAGAAATCATCTAAAGAAAAAAAAAATGGATGTTTCCAAACATAGCGCTACTCTTTTTTCACTATTGACTTCATCCAGTCAGACGACCAGTTCAACAAAAATCGAACCGCCAGCAGCTCCAGCAGTCCCCCAGTCCGAAGAAACCATCCATTTTTGTTGGTGAAATGCCCTGGATGATAAGAATTCTTGATGTAGGACTAGGTCAAATATGGTCAAATGATCATCATTCCTAATTCAGAAATAAGCTCATGTGGGGCGAATCTCCCCTAATGTGGTAAACCCTATGCTATACACAACTATCGGGGATGATTGTGATCCCCATTTGTGGTAAGTCATTGGGGATGGTGTATGGCGGTGTGATTCTGTGATTCTGTGATTGTTATTCTTATTGTTAGTACTGTCATTATTGTTATAGTGTTAGTACTATTATTGTTAGTACTATTATTGTTAGTACTATTATTGTTAGTACTATTATTGTTAGTACTATTATTTTCCCTACTGCTGTTACTGTCATCATGACATAGTACATGATTACTAATACTATATATGTCATTGGATCAACAAAAACTATCCAACAAACATCAGTTTGAGGTTTCTTAAGTCGTGGGGGATCCCCAGTCGTCACCACGGGAGTACTGTAACCGTTCGGAAGGTCATCCATGACGACTGGATGCGCGGCCGCGCCTTTTTGAACTTTCCCTGCAGCCGCAGCTCCCAGTTGCGCTTCCGGTGCCGGAAGTGGCGGTAGTAGGGATGGCCCCCTAGGCATTGGACTGAAACGCTTGTGGATCGGCTGGAAATTGCTGGACTCCATCGGGGGGCAAAAAATATGCGGTACCCAACAGTTGTGGCATAAAAAATCGCATGAAAGCCAGGTATTGGTCCAAAAGTGGGGTATCAATTTGGATGAATGCTACTAAATTGGTTCATATCAACATGTTTGGTCCTGGCTCTTCAGTACCTATACCTATGACAGGTACGGTTGTCCATTTTTTGAGGTACCAATGGGCCCACTTAAAAGGTGTGCGAGTTTTTGAGATCAAACAATCCCCTTGGGTAATAATTTTGACCCAGACCCATGTTAGTCTTATGTTGACTCACCAAATATATGTTTTTTCAGTGGGCTTCCAGGTGAAATTCTGTGTGACCAAAAATATTCCAAACTAATTCTTGCTGTTCTTGACAAAAAAAAACAATGAACTTATATCAAGAACGTGTGTTGACTATCTAAGCTACAACAGAATCCAAATCCGATTTGATATGTATGTGTATATATATATATCATATCGTATCGTATCGTATCATATCGTATCGTATCATATCATATCATATCACCATTGAATACGCATGATATTCCCATAACCCATATCAATCCCTACTAAATCCCCATCAGATTATCAGATACAGCGTTGCTGCGATCACTTGACCAAGCGGCCATCCAGTCCTTCAGTCGGTCGGTAGAGAAGTAAGACCTGGTAACGTGGCAGTTCTTACCCTGCTTGGGTTGGGATCCAAGATGGTGGACCGAAATGTGGAAATTTGAAGCCTCCTGGGTTTAGGCTCTCTTCAGCGCGTTTGAGGTTAGGGTCTTTAGCCGGGTTTGAAATCCCAGCGGCGGGGTTAGGGCTTGAGGTTTGGCCCAGGGGCGAGGCAACCTTCCGCGAAAACATACAGTAGGGCCGTACTGTAATTTTAAACACCCCGCAGAAAGCATGGTTTAGTAGGGGATCGGGTATTTATATAATATTCGCTAAATGGAATTATACAGATACCATCAAGCAACTATTCGGTCGGACTTGGGGTCCAACAACCAACAAGGGTCAACAGGGCACTGCTGAAGTCCCCTCCAATGATTCAATCATGATCATTCACCAATCTGACCAAATTGGCGATATCTGCCCCAAGCTATAAACCCTCTTTTTTGCCGCGATGTCAACCAGTGACGTCATTTATCCAGATGGTGATGATGCTCATTGATACACATATCATCCCCATTGAAAAAAACACCGATCCAATTCTTGGTTTCACCTCCTTTTTCCACAAGGCATTGCGGCCACCCCAAATGCTCCAAACCTCTCCCTTGAAGTTCTCATTCTCAATAGGTACCGCTGCCGTCCTTGGCAATCATTACCGGATCTCAGTCTTCACAAACCCTCAGTAACATAACCATAGTGAAAGTAATATGTATGTATATATACACATATACGTGTATATATATATATCCAGTATCTCATCATATAACCAGTACTATATGTATTTTCTGGATTAATGGTGATATTCCGGTCGAATTGTTTTCTGATTACCCATGAGCCTCCCAAAGTTGGGATTCTCCATTTCAGTGCGGAGTTCTTCGTTTCATTTGCAATCACTGGATTGGTTTGATTGAAATTCGACAAGAAAACATTCTTTGGTTTACCAATAGACCCAAGCTGGTCCTGAAATTTGGCGTCCCCAGCTCCAAAACATGCGAGCATCGTGTCCATCTCTACAAACACAAAAATAAAAGATACACTCGTTGGGCGGACTGGATTTGGATAGCACCCTTTGATGTGCTCAGGGATACCCTTCTTGAACACTGAAGCTTCTAAGTTCGCCCATCACACACCGGCCCCCAAGGCCCACACGTGTTGCATGGCACGAAGTGTGCGCGAGGTAACCTGTACCAGGTTGTCCCCACACAAAGTTGCCTTTTTAAACACCAAACTCGCCAAAGAATTGCTGCCACTCACCTTTTTGCTGTCCAAAAATGGAGAATTGCCCAATTTTTGGCATCTTTCTGGATCACGTCCATCCTAATTCACCAAACTCTTCAGACTTTGGCAATTTTGGGCATGATTCCCCCAGCCTTGAACCGCTGCTGGTCCCGACGTCGTGCACAATGGAGTACCTCACAGAGTTGGTGCTTGTTGAGAGGGAATCGATCACGAGATCTTTTTGGATTTTTCGATGTCTAAAAAAGAAAGGCCGGAGTGTGCCCAAAAATATTCAAAGATCATGGTGGGTATAATTTCATGATTCGGTGTACTCCATCGGGCCTGGCGCCATGAGAAAGTTCGGCTTTTGCTCTTCGCTGCAAACTGGACCCAATTTGGGACATCCATTTTTTGTGTTTATCCATGGACGATTTTGGGATGGTACCCTCTGGTTTAACATAGCCATGGTATAGATGGCCCATTTATAGATGATTTTCCCAGCTAGAAACCTCCATTTATAAGGGATTTTCCATGGCTATGTTAAATAACCAGATGGTAAATGTTCAACAAAGTGTTGCAAAATTGTGTCAACCGACAGTCTATTGGCTGCCCAAGATCCAAAATGCGATGCTGGCTCCAAGCTTTTTCGGACATCTGAGTAGAACAAGATGTCTCCCCGGTGATCAAAAAAGTTGGGGTAAACCATCCAGTGAACCAGCCACTTGGGGTCAGATTTTACATGATTTTTACCATCATCCCCAATAGCTTACCCAATCATAAACCTAAATTGGGGATGCTTTAGTATTGGGTTTACCATATTCGTCTTTAGATAAAAATTGGGGATCATCATAATCCATGAAATCCATGAGCTGGGAATCTACTCAGAGCTAAAGACCTACGGAAAAGAACTTCTGAGTGGAGTCTTAACCCCGGAATCACAGCCCTTGATTGTCCATTTTCAGGGCGTGGCTCTCAAAATAAGAATGTACTATATGTGTAATTACATTCAGATATATATATATATATTATATCATGTATATATATATACATATATACTATATACACTTTAGAACTTTAGAATACTTTAGAATACTTTAGAATACTTTAGATAGTTTCGTATCAAGTTGTGCAATCAAAGTTTGGCCGCACTTTCTTGCTGACACTCTTTCTACCTGTGCACTGGGTTTGCAGGTACTCGAAATCGCGCACCCCTTCGGGCCTTGAAACGCCTGCAAAAAAAAGAACCTATCAACCCAACATTTGCCACAGGGTCCCTTATATTGTCCCCATAAACATCACCGAAAATGAAAAAAAAAACTGCACATTCTTTCACCATGAAAAAGAGTTGTCTTCAAATCCATTTGACATTTCTATGTGGTCCATCCATTTGACATTTTTCTGTGGACATATAAGGAGCCAATAATTTGCCCCTTCAGGGGTCCGAGCCGGCATCTGCGGAGTCCATTGATCGATTCTTCGCTCCCCCACAGCCGGTCTCACGAATCAGGATCCTCTCTTTTGAGACACCTGGAATAAACACACAACCAGCAATGCCCAAAACCCAGTCATCCGCAAACTGTTTGTGGCTGATTGCTCGGGATTCTCATCTTCGAGTCGTTCCTGAAGTTCATGGTTCAAATTCAACCACAATGTGTATATGTTGCAATTATAACATATTACGAGTGTACATAATCATCAACCGACATGTGTTTTGGGCGTTTGCTGACTTGAAACTTCTAATTAAAAAAAACTTGGAGATCCGGCACACCTGAGGTGTTGAAACATGACCATGGTCAAAAACGGCACCCACAAGGCCAGACTGAGGGATGCTGGGAATAGACAGCAGCGCTGACATGACCAGGATGCGTCATGACGACGTCACTCAATTTTAGCAGGTCCCTGACTTCAGAAGTTCAAATACAGAACGATCCGTGTTCCCATCATTTTGTACAAATATCGAGAGAGTTTTCATGACCCTGGCCAGGAAGAAACGCGCAGCCCCTCAACTGGTTCGGAACATGGAAGGTGTTTAAAGGCTCCAGCGCAGTTGTGCTCCAGCGATGACTGGAGATACAAACTTGCAGCAGGATGGGTTCAGTCTTGGCACTGTCAGCAACCTGCAATGACCGGTAAAAAGTTGAAATCTGGCACAAAAATAGACGACATTTGTAGACATGTGTCGTTTCCAAGACGAAATTCAGTGTTCAGAGCCTGTTGAAATGTCAAATTTCAGGGCCATATGGAAGTGTATCACCAATATTCACCAATCATGTTGATATAGAATGGGCACATAGCCATTGGACTGGGTACAAAATCTAGGGCAATCTACTTTCTTGCATGCTTCCGCCCCTTTGGTGATACTGGAAGGATACCAAATCACTGCACAAAAAAAAACTAGCTGGGTGTAGACATCTTACCATAGAACCAAGTCATGAAAAGCTTCACCCATCTTTGCACCATCACGCCTAGGCTGACACCGCTCTTCTCCATGGATCTACCGCATTGAGATTCACTTTGCTGAAGTCCGTCTTGAGATCGAAGTTCACATCGAAGCCATCGTCGTCATCTTCCTCCAACGCCTTCTTCACGGCCGGAGGCATCGCTGCGCCCGCGCGCGATTTGGAGCCACTTCTCGGGTTCTCATCCACCTGCAGCCGTTTTTCGACATCAATAGCTCGTGGTTTCCAAGAACCGAACAAGGCATAACAAAACCATGTGTTTATAGAAGTTGATAAAGAATGATGATTAGAGATTCCAAAATCAAAAAAAAAATCACTTCGGACTCTCCAAAAAATCCTTCCGCCCCTCCGCGACCTCCAAGACCTTCTTGTCCGGCCGCAGGGGCGTGCGGCTGAAGGCGGAGCTGGGGCGAACTCCGGCACCGGGCCGCAAGCTGCTGGCGCCCGCGGGCGCCATCTCCTGCCAACTTCACCAATGAACCAATGGTTTTTCAGTTTTTCACCCATGAAAACATATGAAAACCGAGAGCTTCTTCATGATTTGGTGGGGCTGAATTACGGGGTGCATGATTTTCATGATCGGTTGACAGTTGGAACATCAACAAAAACTGGGAGGTGACCAACAAAAATATGGGAGCTGCGCATGTTTTTTTCACCAAGGAAAATGTGGAATCATGAAAAAATGCAGATTCGGCCTAACCAGCAGAAATGTTTTTTTTAAACAACAATTATGGTGATTTGGCCACAAAAATCTGTGGCCATCATAGGGAAATACTTCCAAGAGATCCTGAAAAGTTGTGACCGTCCGAATCAGGGGATGCACATTGGGGGAAAAAACATTGGTCATCATCATCTTCCCTAGTAAAACAATAAGATCCACCATCCCCAATTTTACTAGTTTTATGGGTGGGATTGAAACCATCAATTTATACGGGTGGTTCATGACTCATGACATTGCTTCACTAAAATGATTAAAACTGCCATTTTCCCAATGTTTGGACCAAGTTTGTCCCCGATGTCCTTATACAGCGCTTCCGCCACCTGCATCTTCCGTGCAAAGGCTGCTCTGCCCACGGACGCCAATTCCTTCCCCATACGGGCTTGCATCACGCGATCCGTTTCGGGCACTTCCGGAATCTTCAGGGGCACCAACTGTTCGGGCCCATGTCGCGGTGGGGCAGCCAAATCCAAGATGTTCATCTTGCTCATCCTTGGTGGCTACGATCTGAATCATGTGTTTTCTTCCACACCACCAACCAACTGAGTATTTTTTTGGCTCCAAAAAATATCCAAGCAGTTTGGGATTATCATGGCCCTGATCACTCATAATTCTCGAGAGTTCACCATGAATGGACTCCATGCATTGACTACATTGGATAGGCCACTAGTGGATATTCCCCTCAAATTTATATATATATATAAATAAATATATATATATATCCATCAAAAAAACATCATAGAACCATCATATACCATTTAAAAACCCAAGCATCTTCGGATATGCCCCTGGAATCTCCGTATCCGGCAGTGGTGTCTCCTCCTCCACCGGCACCTTGGGCGCTGGATCGTCGGTGGCATCGCGGTCGCTGTCGCTGTCCTCGCGCCAGGCACGGCGCGGGCGGAGGCCAGCACCCTTCTCCATGATTCTGTGGAGCTTGGCCACCTGTTTCCTCAGGATTTGCCGATCCAGTTGCGTGGATCTCTACATACCATTTATATATATATATATATATATATATGTGTGTGTGTGTGTAGATATAGATATAGATATAGATATCGATATAGATATAGATATAGATATAGATATAGATACATAGATACATAGATACATAGATACATAGATATAGATATAGATATAGATATAGATATAGATACATAGATATAGATATAGATATAGATACATAGATACATAGATACATAGATACATAGATACATAGATACATAGATACATAGATACATAGATACATAGATATATAGATATATAGATATATAAATATATAGATATATAGATATATAGATATATAGATATATAGATATATAGATATATAGATATATGGATATATGGATATATAGATATATAGATATATATATATATATATTTAAATTATATGTCTCTGTCTATCTATCTATCTATCTATCTATGTTTATCTCTATTTTTATCGCTATCTCTATCTATATCTTTATGCATATATATATATGTATAACCTACTCTATATCTATCTATATCTACAATCTACATATACATATAAATCCGCCGACCTGCCTAGCCTTGGCCTAGGCGGGGCGTCGCCCGGGATCACCGCAGGTGTGCAACCATACATATCCGTACCAATCCTTGCCCACAGCCTGTCCCTGCAGCTTCAGGCCCAAATGCCTAAAACCCCTCCTGGCAGCTTCAGGTCCCGTTGCTGTGGCTCCACTGTTACAAGCAAGGCCCCAAAAAGCGCACGCTGTTTCTACAGGGTTTCGAAGCTGCTGGATGGCATGTTTCCAGCAGGCCCGAATGCCTAAAACCCGTCCCCGAAGCTGCAGGTCTCGTTGCCGTGCCTCGTCTGCTGGACGCAAGACCCCAAAACGCACAGGTGTGCAACCATACATGTCCGTATACCAATCCTTGCCCACAGCCTGTCCCTGCAGCTTCAGGCCCAAACCTCCACTGCTAGAAGCAAAGCCCCAAAACGCTGCCACACACTGTTACTACAGGGTTCCGAAGCTGCTAGATAGCTTCCAGCAGGCCCAAATGCCTAAAACCTCTCCTGGCAGCTTCAGGTCCCGTTGCCGTGTCTCCCCTCCTGGAGCAAAGCTCCAAAAAGCTGCCACGCACTGTTTCTACAGGAAACTGCTGGATTCTCATTGAGTTCTTTTAAAGCTGAAGCCTCCAAAGCGTTGCTGCCACCTGCGACATCAGCAGCAGGAGTGCCCTTGCAAGACCATCTCGGCCATTCATAATAAAGCAGTGATCACTAAATATCACACTAACCCACTCAAGTTGGGCCCAAGTTGGGCGCAAGCAAGCTCCTATTCGGCCCAACTTAAGGCCAAGGACAGCCAAGTTTGACTCCAGTCGGCTTTTGGTTGGGCCAAGTAGGCCCGCTTCTTTCCTCTCTGTCCTATTCTCTGGGTGCAGGCGGTTCTCGTCGCGAAGCGACTCGAATATACATAATGTATATATATATATACATATAATATGTATATATATATCAATATATGTATATTGTAATTTATTATTTATATATATATATATAAATGAGGGTTTCCAAAGTCATAGGGGGTATCCCAAATCATCCAAGTCATGGATGCCCATCCGGATGTGTCTGAAATAGTTCAAAAACCCTCATCTTCATGGCCATTTGAATAACATCATGATTCACCAATGACAAACCCATCCAGGTCCGTAGACCTCCGCGTTTGCATATAATGTTAAGTAAAGCAATAAGATCCAGCATCCCCAAATTGATCATTTTTTATGGGTAGGGTTGAAACCCATCAAAATATGGGTGGTTTATTATTGCTTTACATGTGTTATATGGTGTTATATTCCATGAATTAATAGCCCCACGATACTGTATCCAGTGTCAATGGCGCTCCATGGCGCGGGCTGGAAACTCCCCCCAGATAGATGATTTTCCCAGCGATAAAGCTCCATTTGGATTGGTGATTTCCCAACACGTTTGATTACAGAAGGGTTCTATTACCATTATCATTACTAGTGTATATACTTTTCTAGTACTCTTGCTCTCACTGCTATTAAACCAACTACCCTCTGGTAAATGCAGCCATGGAAAATGATGGCCCGTTTACTTCGATGATTGACCTACAAAGCATGGTGATTTTCCATAGCTATATGAAATTGCCACAGGGTAAGGGGTCCCAAAATAACAAGTTGGATTTGCGTATCTTGGGGATGAAATATGATAAAATGATGATTAACCATGATTAACAATGATCAACCATCAAATTTGATGTTTTACAATAATTTTCAGACATGTGACAAGCCCATGTCATGTACTTAAGCATCATGATTTTGGATTTGAGTTGTTGGGGTCTCAAAATTGACAAAAATATTGGGATCTCCTGTTGATTCTGGTGGACGAATGGGAAAAATTCAAACCAGCTCAGCAGATCCAAGTTTCAACTGCTTCTTCCGCTCCAGAGCCACCTATGGCGGCGAAGGTTCATAGGTTCATGACAAAGAAGGGATGGATGGAGGGTGGCTGCAAAGCAGTAAATCGAAAATACAAGTAGTTCTGTAGATCAACACATCAACATGATAGACTGCAGGATATGAACTATGGGAGTGGTTTCAATGACATCACACGAATCCCTTTGCTGAACTACACCTCAAACCTAGTGTATTTTTGTGTTTGACCTTAGGATCCATTGAAAACCTATGGAAATAACATGAAAAAGAAAGCCCCGCAGTTCTCGATGACTTCCTGCCTGACCGAAATACTCTTTCTCCTCTGGGAAGCGTTCCAAGATTGCTTGGAAGTGCCGGTTCCTCCGGCGGCCCATGGACTCAGGGCTCTGAAACTCGGGATATGAAAACCATCCCTCTGAACGACCCCTTCCAGACATACTAGTCTTGTTTTAGCAACATCACCAATACATGCATACAAATATAAAATATATAATTATATATATTTATATCATTATATATATATACATACATGTCGTAGATACAGTACTGGATTGTGAGACTGAAATGATCATGCCCTGCCAGTTACCAACGTTGGCCGCCAGTCCGACAGTGTCGTTCCCCAATTGAATCGATCATGGCCAGCCCATGAGGTCGTAAAACTGGATAAACTGAGGCCATGATGAGACCTTTCCCCTGGTGAGAATGTATCTTTCATAGCGTACTGAAAAAGGGAGCTTAATGACGTAAGGATCTGATTAGATCTGATACCCTGGTAATTTACCCATTAAAAATGGTGGATCTTTCCATAGTTATGTAAACGTTTACCAGAGGGTAGTCTCTAAAAAAGAGCCTGGTTTGTCAGAAAAAATGGTGTCGATTTGATGTCCCAGATCCCTCCAACGAGGTCCCATTGGAAATCCCCAGATTTGAATTCATTTCATCGGTTGCTTGTCACATGTTCGTAAGGATATCCCAAACTATCCCACGAATCGCCTAAACGAACATCGAAAACCTCCTATTTTTTTTGCAGATTCTTGTCATGTATTCTATATTCCAGTTTTATGGCATGTTTTTCCAGATTTTCCCATGCAAATCCGCTGGAATATCAATGGCCAAATCCTCTTAGATTCCAATGAAATAGATCGTGACAAAAATAACCTCCAATTGTTTTTAATCAGAAATCTACAATGTGACTCCCCTTGATTCAGAAACCTCAAAAATTACCCCCACCCTTAACCTTAAGTTAATTTTCAAAGTTCCCCCCCCTCCCCTTCTAGGATCACCAAACTTAGTAACTGGTCCGTAACCATACTTCTAATCCATTTCTGGGGCCAAAAAAGGGGGGACTTACCTTTTTTCACCAGGCTTACATTCACCAGTTCCAACCCCCCAAAGTTTCCCCCCCTCGTCCTCAAGACCAGGCATTCGGTGTGTTCCCGCGCGATGGCATTCGACAATCGCTTGGAACTGCCAAGGAGCGCCAAATCCCCGCAGTGGCTGCCACGCGATAACACCTCCACCTGGGGAAAGCACCACGGATACGGGGAGATTTTATGGTGATTTTGTGGTGATTTCATGGGAAGTGAATGGGCAGAGAATGGGGATTCAGTCGAGATTTAGTGGGAATTGAATGATTTGATTGGATTTGATGGGATTCAATGCCCAAAAAAAACCTGCAAGATGGGAAGCCAAAGTTGAGCAATGCCTTCTTCATAGGGATTGAATCTCATGAAATCCTGGCTGGTCATGGGGTATAATCAGAGACGTTCCTTTTTTGAAAATTTGGGTGGTCATGTGTGTATGTGTGTATGTGTATATCTATATATATATGTGTGTGTGTGTATGTGTAAATATATAGAGAGAGAGAGAGAATTGCCCCATAGTTAGCTATCTTGATTTATAGCTAGGCTAACCAAGTTAGCTCATGGTAGCTATGTCGGCATAGCAAAGGGAGTTCATGGAGGTTCCAACTCGCAACTGGAGGGTGCCGATGGCCCTTCAAAGATCTGGTCATGTTTGATCAATACCCCTAAATCTATTCATATGTACATACATGTGTATACACCGACATAGACATATAAATATCTCTGTACCATATAATATCTATTTAACGGTGTATATATATATATGTATATACATATACATATATATATACATATGTATATACATATATACATATATATATACATATATATATATATACATACATACATACATATATATATATACATAGATATATATATATATAAATTTACATATATATATATATATGTAAATTTAGAAATATATATATATATGTCTATATATACATATATATATATACATACATATTGCATATGTACATATATAAATGACATAATATATACATACAATATATCCGTACACATAGCAGTAGCCATCACGGCATCACCTCACCCTATCCCAGGGGTCCCCAGGGGTCCCACCTCCTGGAGGGCAGAGCTGCTACAAAGAATCACGCTGCCAGAGGAGATAAAATACATGTTGAAACCCACATCACCTGCCGAAGAAAATCCATTCGAAAAAATCATGGGATTTTCCATGAGATTTTCATGGGAAAAAATGCTGGAGATGATGATTTTCCAAGAGGTGGATCCCCAAAACCGTAGGGATTTATCGGGAGTTCATGGGAATATCATGGGAAACCATAGTTTTTTTAATAGTGATTTGGTGGTTTCTTAAGTCATGGGGAATCTCCCGAGTCAGCTAGGGTTCCAATACAAAGTCATCGTCATATGACTTGGATTTTTTCGGGTAGCCCTATTTTTAGAAACCTCCGTGTATATATATATAACATACACATATACATATTACACATACACATATTACACATATTACACATATTACACATATTACACATATTACACATATTACACATATTACACATATTACACATATTA